TATTAAAAATCTTTTGTATGTAAAAAATTAGTTATTATGTTAAAAATCGTGAACCAGCATTGGGTCATGTTGTTTTTTCTTCTGGATGGTAGAAGATGTCGATTATTTCTCTTGGTTGTATGTTCTTATTGTTAGTTGTGTTGCCTGGAGCACACAACAATCTCTCTGAGGTTTAGAGTTCTGAAAAGTGATGTGTAGGAAGTCTTTCAGGAGGTGGTTCAATAGATGGTACCCAAATATGGGACCAAGTACTCAGGATCTGTATTTTTGTGTAAGTCCTTTGATGAGGTGGAGCCTGAGATTGGGATTGTCTGTTTTCTTGGCCACTGACAGGTGAATAGCAGCAATGAATAGCCTCTTGAATAATTTTAGATACCATTTGGGATATTTCTTTCTTTCCAGTAATATGATTGAGTATTTATTCTTTTATGTTAAGGGTTTTGCAGCCACACACAGCAACAGATTTGGTGATTTGCTTGCCTTTGCTTACTGACACACATCTTATCTGTGCTGTATGTGGAGACCCATGACCACTGTTTTCTAATCATGCCTTGAATGTCAACCAGATTATTCTCCCTTTTTTTTTCACACCTAAATGCCAACACAGCATGTTTCCTTTGATTAGGAAACATGCTGACTCTGGGAATAAAAAATTTGTTTATCTAGAGTGTTTGGCTGTGGCCCAATTGACTTTCTAGAAGTCTTAACATTTTTATTTATGTCAGGATTAAGAAATGGTTGAGCACTTCCCTCCTGCCTTGTCCTGTATGTCTTATGAAAACCATACATATTTAATGCTGGAGTTACAAAAGTTATAAGATTTTATGGCAAACTTGGCAGCTTTCGATGGAAGATACTGCTCGATTGAAAGACAGCCATCAGCAGTATGCTGGCTATGGAGGTACAAACTCTGGAATTTATTCTCAGTGCTAAAGAAGTGAATAAATTTTTGAAAGTCTGCTGGATCTCTATATTCATTTAGTGTGGAACTGTCATTGAAATTAAATATTATTATGATCTCTGGTGTTTCCAGATGTAGCATTTCTGAGAAGAATGTATGAAAGGCTGTCAGTTCATGCTTTAATGCAACCTTTGGCTTGGCTTCTGTAAAATTTCCATTACCATGAAGACCACCAAAACAGTGTACATCTCGGCCTGTCATGTTCTAATCCTAGAGCAAAATGTGAAGGGAATGGCACTTTATGGAATTTGTGGCCAAGCATATCTGTTAGTCTCTGTTAGTATGTGTTGCATAAGAACAATATCAGAAAGTTTTTGAAACCTTTGGCAATATCTACACCACTGTTATCAAACTGTGGTCCACGGATATCATGAAATGTTCCCTGTGTAACACCAGATGTTCTGATATCCAGCCAAGAAACATTTCTTGACAACCCTTGCATTCCCACCATGTGTTTCAGTATCTTCTCTATCAGAGACATTAATTTTGTGGGCTCCTGGGAACACCAATTTCACTTAATTATCACCTTCACCACTCTCGATATCTGAGCTGTATCCACTAATTTTGTCATCATATAAAATGTAATTTAAAAGTGCACTTTGTCTGAATCTGTAAACAAGCAACCTCTCAGATGCCTGACCATATTAACTGTGATGTCATGGTCTACGTAGAAGCTTATTTTCATTGTTTTACTTTCCACTTTCTCCCAACCTAAGGCTGACACTGCAAAGAATTCAGTGATTTTACCTTAGCTCATTTCAAGCTGGTTCCTAGTTTTGTGGCTTGTGACCCAAATGTATGGTGTATGGCATGCTACAAGGAAAAAGTGTAAATGCTGGGCATACCGTATTGTAACGTCAGAAACTACCGCCATGTCCCTCAACTAGACCCCCCTTCATTCCTTTTTCCCCTCTCCACCTGCCCTACGCTTGCGCCCTTCATCCTTTCACCAGGGACTAGGAGGCTCGTCTGAACACTGCAAGGGGATTCTGCTGCACGCCGTGGAAGAGTCTGGCGCTTGTCTCGTCCCCAAATTATTTCTTGAACTTTTTGGTTTGCTAAATTAACGGCGGAGTTGTTGGACGCTTTTACATTGTGCCGTCCTCATATGGGACAGTTTGTATTTTTATTTCACTCAACCAATTATATTATTATATTATATTTATTTGGTGTGTGTATTGTTTAAAATATTTTCCTACCCCAAACCACTTTTCGGTCCTGGGCACTGGTACGTTTCAATATATATGAAACCCTGCCATGAAGGCTTAGCAAGCAGTTGTGTAAATATCCATTATTTTTAATACTTCCATCGCTAAGAATGAGTAATTTGTATATTTCAATTTTTTGCATTTCTCAATGTTAATACAGTTTAACTTGCCAAAAATTGTTCTGTATCTGAGATTTGGAGCACTTTTATTTACTACATAGCTAGTTAGTACCAGTGTGTGAAGAGAGCCGACATTTGTTTAATAATGCAAATTTTACAGTATTAAGGTCTGCTGTCTCCATCAGGTTTGTACCACTGCTTGAATCGCACAACACTCTTCCTGCTGTCACGCTCAACAGATAACATAGCTGATCAGATGGCTGTGCTAGAGGCCCTACACAAACTCACAAATCACCGTGGTCTTGTGTTTGGTGCTGGCAATCATGAGTTGGACTTTGTGGGCTGCCTCACGTACTGTCTCCTGCAGCTCACTGCTGACATGCGCATAATGTTGGACACCAACATACGCACCACCTGGCACGTCAATCCGCAGATGGTAAAGGAAACTTTTTTTCTCCTGTTCTTAGACACATTCCTCCCTTAGAATCCCTCATCCTAGGGATGAGGGTGTCACACCCTCTGTATGATGTTGATGTTTGCAAATGCATTTACCTGAAGATAAGTGAAATTTTGTCAGAAATTAAGCAAACTGTATAAGCAGCATTAATAACAGATCTTAACATTATTATTAACAGCATCTCCAAATGCTCTTTGCATAAATCAGTAAGTTATGATTACCAAATTTGTGATCTTGTGAAATGTAATTCACATGTTGTTGTGTACATTTAGGCATCATTAAATTGACTTGTGACAAAAGCACTTTGACTTTAAATGCTGACCACAGATGAAGGAAAATGATGCAAGGTTCTGTATGCCTATGCGTAGTGTGATATATGAGGACACATTCATGACAGCCACATCCTTTGCTGCATGCTTTATCTGAGATATGAGGAAGTCCTAGTACTGCATCATCAGAGCTTGTGAGCTGAGGAATGTAATGTCTCTGTGGGACCATCTGGATGGTATGGAGGAACCCATCTTGAATGGGGAACGTGTAGAAGTGAGGACAGATCTGAACAGGCTGGGGGAGTGGGCGGCTGAAAATGCGATGGTTATTAATCCAGCTAAAAGCAAAGCAGTTTGAATGGCTGTTGTACTGCGATGTGGAAAGCAGATGGAAAAACTACCACATTATCACTTCCTGGATAGTCTCTTTCCAAAAACAGAGATTCCATGTATGTGAGATGTTTTCTCTGGAGACAAAACAAACCAGAGGGGCGGACAGAAGTGACCAGAAGACGAGGAAGAAGACGGAAGATGCTGGATGACCTTGGGGACAGAAGAGGATATTTGGATTTGAAGGAGAAAGCTTGAGATCACATTAAGTGGAGGAAAAGTTTTGGAAAAGACTGTGGACCTGTCGTTTGACAGATTACTGATGAATGAATTGTATTTGTTATAGTTGTAAGTGTATTTTTCTTTGTTGTTTGTGTAGTTTTGTGTTCCATGTTTCGTTTGAGTGTGGCGTGTTATTTTGTATGATGTGTGTTATTTGTGTGTTGTGTCTTATTGTATTACCACTTCCACCAGGCAAAAGCCCATTTGCAGTTTAAATAAATAAATAAATAATAATAATAATAATAATGTAGAATGATGAGTGACATTATAGTTCATTTAGTTGTACATGTCAGTCTCTGTGAAACATGTTTAGGATGAGAGTGACGACAAACTGACATCACATCAGGGCCATAACCTGATGGCAGGAGCAGCCCGTCGTGTCTGGGAGGAACTCTATGTTTGCAAGAAGCCGGCCATTGAAGAAGTGTTCAAGATCACATTAGTGTCAGGACCCAACAATAAAGCACCAGACTTGGCAACCGTGCGTGAACAGGTGTATGAGTCAGCCAATAAACTGTGGCTCAACTACGTGGATATGGAGAGGAAAGCTTCCTACAGAACACCATGGGAGCTCCACAATCAGATTCAGTCAGTAAGTTATTTGTTATGTTTAATACTATTCTGACCACATGATAATTTTATATGAAGCACAGTAATTTATGTACACATTATTAGGTTGAGATATATATATATATATATACACATTTCATGTAAATTTCAAACACTTGAATGTTCATATCTAATGAAAGATTTTCCAGGTTTTGTGACTGCATTTACTTCTTCATCCTATTCAGTATTCTGGCATTCACCTTGCAACATTTACCCCTGACAAAGCCATAAAATAGGGACCCAAATGTTAATAGAGCTGACATGAGGAGGGAGATAGGCAGCAAACTCCAGGAAATCTAAAATAAATTTATAATTTTTATTGTTGTTTTGTGTGACGTGTGCCTCTGGGCACACATTGTTAACCAAGATATACAGTAACAATGGACAGGCAGGGGCAGCTCAAGCAATATAAGTGATGGGCTAAAGTACAATAGACTGTTGAAGGTCGCAGTGCTAGGACAAATTTTATGGCTCACCCCTCATACTCGTAGTGATGGGCTAGGGGCTGGATGGTCAGGATTCGATTTCTGGCAGGGGCAAGATTTTTCTCATCTCCATAGCACTCAGACTGGCTGTGGGGCCCACCTGGCCGCATATCCAGTGACTACTGGGGGCTCTTTCCCCGGCAGTAAATCAACTGGAGCGTGAAGCTGACCACTCACTTCATCTAGTGCCAAGGTCAAGAATGGTGGAGCTATGCCTCCACTCCCCCATATGTGTTTGTGACATAGTGCCTGATTAATTAAGCACAGGGACAACTTTTCCTTTTCTTTACCTTACAGTAGGAATGTACAAAATCATGTAATGATATAAAGCATCCCTCTTTTGGCACTGTGAGTACTCCCTTACTTACCAGAACAGATCATTAATTTTGTTTTGGTGTGCCCAGACTTTCATACATACTTCTAATGTGATTTCTCACAAATATATTTATATTAATTTTTCAGTTACAAAATATGATAACGGAGGTCAGTTGCCGATGAACTACATTCTGGTGGTGAAAATGACAGTAATTTTAAAGTTATTAAGACATAATTTGTACAACATCACCAAAATCATCAGTGGCTAAAAGGAGATGCTCTGATGAACATAGAAAATTGATTGTGATATTTTAGTTATTTATTGATAATTTTTTACTATTAATTTGATTTCTTTTTTTTTTATATACTTCATTGATCTTCTTGGTCACATATTTCAAAATGTCGTACATGGCATGGAATAAAAATAAATTTGCATAAATAAACATAAGCACTCTTTTTATATATATATATTTGACATTTGAAATACTGTGTTTAAAAACATATGGCTTTATTTGTTGTTTGCAAGAAACATATGCCTGTCTATAAAATTACATTTTTTAATGATTTTATTCTGCCAGCCTTCATTTTCTCGCAGGAACAGTATTTACGAGGCTTATCAGTATTCAGTGGGGCACACAGTAGCGTAGTTGGCTGAGGCACTATGCTACAAGCTGGAAGGTCGCTGGTTTAAGTTCCGATGAGGTCATTGGATTTTTCTCAATTGACCTAATCCTTCCAGCCGCACTATGTGCCTGGGGTCGACTCAGCGTCTAACAGAAATGAGTACCAGGAATTATTTAAATAATTTTCCTGGGGAGTAAAGCGCGGCTGGCGCGTAAGGCTGACAACCTTACCGCCATCTTTGAGCCCATTGTCTAGATAATGTGGGACCCTCAACGTCTCACAACCCTATGGGCCTTCACGGCGTGTTACAGGATAACTTTACTTTTTTTTATCAGTATTCAGTGATACAGCAGTAAGTAAAAGAACAATGTGTGGTGTCACATTCTTTCATTTTTAGAGCTTGAATTTAATGACACTTAAGAATAATTAAGTAATTTTCCTGTCTTGCACTGCATTAATTTTAATCTCTCTTAAGAGGTTATATTAAAGTTGCATAAATGTGTGATAAACCCAGCCTTTTTTTTAAGGAGAACAACAGATGAAAACTGTATCTTTTAGCTCTTCTATATTGTTTTCAGAAAATCCAGAAAGTGACAGGTGGTTTAACCCGTCTGGCTAGTCGAACCAAGGTAAAGAAAGAAGAGACAATACGCATGCGATACTCAAGTATTCCACAGTGTGAAATTGCAGCGTGGACAGCTGGTCGTGCAGCACTGGTGAAAGATTTGGTTGAGGCACGGGCGAAACAGCACCAGCAGGCTCAGGTGTACATGCAGCGCTACGTTTTAGAGGAATGGTTGCAGACAGAAACAGAGCTGACCAGAGAGCGAGGACTCTGGGGTCCAACAGTGCCTTGCAGGTATGTCAACATCGGTATGATAACATTTCTGATTTTAAAGTTTTTGTTACAAAGATTGATTTCAGAGTAAGGAAGAAAGGTGTGCTGAATTTTTTAAATTATAGCAATACCAGCTTCAGACCAGAATACTGGAAGAAGCAGAGTAATTTTTTCTGAAAGCAGTGATTGGATATTGATCTTCCATATGATCCCTTCCCTCTGTCCATTTGTCTGTTAGTTTCTGAAGTATCCAGTCTTTGCCTAGGCTTCTTTTAAAATAACTGTGCAGAAATGTTGAAGTTGAATGCATATTTTGTTATACATCTCTAATGAACTCTTGCTTACAGCTTCTATATCTTTAATAAATTTAATACACGGTTCAACTATAAATCATTTTAATCTCTCAGAGTTGATTCGCTGCAAGAGACAGGCACTGAATTATCTCTGACTTACATTTCCAAATGAAAGGACATGACATGACATATCTTTTCTGTTATTTTTCAGCGTGAAGTTGGTCATACTGGTCATATTGGTCATAAAACGATTTTTTGACCAATATGACCAGTGATTCAATTTGTATTCTATAATATTAAATTCTTTTTCCCACCAACACAAGCACAGAGATCAGAAGGAAGGAACTGTGGGAAAAATAATTTAATATTATAGAATACAAATTGAATCACTGATAGTTAATTAATAAATAAATAAAGGTATAATGTAGGGGGATTATAAGATAAATGGGATGTTGAACTGTTGAGAAATGAATACAGGTGAAAATATGGCTGAACACAGCACAAGGTGCTGAAACATATAATTTTTTAACATTGCTACATTACATGTAATATCAAACTTAAACTGTGCAGTTCAGTAAACTCCCATTTGTTGGGAATCCAGACATCCGAAATTCTCATGCAACTGGCAGAAATTCAAAGGAAATTGGCCATTTTTATAAAGTTTTATTAAAAGCAAAGTTGCAGTGTTCACACGTTCACTCACCCCTTGTTATTTCTCCCAGCCGCCACCAGCAGCACTGTCCATTGTCTTCCTCATTCAGGTGCTGTTACAGTTGTGATGATCATGATTATAGCAGAGGCTAGTTGAATTTGTGAATGCAGTACAGTATATCCAAAATCTTAACCCATCAATCTGCTATATTACCTGAGCAGACTCCAGCGCAGAAATTAAAGCCATTGTTTTGACTTTGTAAAAGACAAGAAAAGGGCAAAAATTATGTGATAAGTTTTTCTTATGCAAGTTGCAGATTCATGTAACTAGAACATGCTGGATAATGGATAGTTTACTTTAAATTTCAATTAAACTTTGTAGTGGTACCAGTCTGTCATTCTTCACATATGTGGAGCTAGTTCTTTCTTCAACTTGTATTTCCAATTGGAAGTGAAACCTCTGAGTGTATTTTCCTCATTTATATTTACTGTTACACTGAATGACATAAACTTTGTTTCTGGGCTTTGTTTCATGTTTTCCATGTTCTGCACTTATAAATGTGCTCTGTTTTCGCTCAGAAACGTGTGTATTGACAGTTTTACTTTATTTTTCAGACTAGACAAATGGATGCTGGACATGACAGAGGGTCCATGTCGCATGCGAAAAAAGATGTGTCGCAACGATTTGTTTTACCTGCATTATCCATACAGACCAGAGCTAGACAGTGGTGACAATAAAGCACTCAAGTACAAAGTGGCCTCCAGCTGGGATAGCAAGGAGTTCTACCAGAAGTACCGTCCTCAGAGCTTGCTGGAGCGGGAGAGGGACTTTATGCTTGAGATACAGCTGCAACCAGAGGATCCCAGTGACAAGGTATGTGATAGCGAAGTTAACACACTGAGATCTCGATACCTGGGATATCATTGACTTTTCTGTGAGTGTGGCTGGCTTGTTTAGTGAAAAATAAACATTTAACTCTAAAAAATATTTCAGTAACTAATCAAATATGTTGTGACATGATGCATGAAAGCCGGGATAGTGAAATCAGAGGAGACATCCATTGCTAAGCAATTGCTGGGTAAACATGCTCCCATGGCAACGAATCAACATGCAACAATAGAAGGAGTGGTGTTTTCTGTGGGGCCCCTCTGAGGCTACATAACGAGGATCTCATGCAGGTAGAATTAGAATTGAGTCGAGTTCCGGAGTCAGCAGTTGCAGCAGAGAATTGAGGGAGTCTCCGGAGTTGACAGTTTGCCGGAATAATGACAAGAAAGATATTAGGCTGTGCAAAGAAGACTGCATGATGTGCTACAGTGACATTGAGGCTGCTATAAATCCATCGCCAGGATTCAACTAGTGAAGAATGAGGGCACTAGAGGGTCTAACAGTGAACTGTAAAGTGTGGAAATAGTAATAGTTCAGTAATTGCCTGTTGTTCAGAGTCGTGTGTATAAGATGCCAATAAATCCAATCATGCAATAATACTCACACACACACACACCTGAAAAACATGACAGTGTTGATGACATAAAGTTTGGTATGTAAAGGAAGTATCTAGTTGTAAGATTTGAGGCTTTCACGGCGGTGACTATGAAGAAAGCAGTCTTCTGGGATTTGGCACCGTGTATATGTGGTGTTAACTGACGTTCCTCCGAAACGTCGGTTAACACCACATATACACGGTGCCAAAACGTCGGTTAACACCACATATACACGGTGCCAAATCCCAGAAGACTGCTTTTTTCAAGTATCTAGTTGTTTGTGACTTGAGTTGTTTTGTGTTATAAGTATGAAATTTCTTGACATGCCTCAGCAGACATGTTACATTGCTTCGATATGTATGCAAACTACCTGATTTTTTTGGCAGAATAAAGTAACCTAAAGGTGCCTCATGGAATCTTGATTTTACTTGGTTCTGCATTTAAACCTCAGTTATGCACACAAAAAAAAAATGAAAACTGAAATTAGCAGTGCATGTCAAAATGTAGTATTATATTCTGCTTCCCTAGAATTGCATTATGCTATTAAAAACATAAAAATATAAGGTCATTTGTAGTAGAAGAGTATCATTGCCCCTTGTTGAATTTGCCATACTGAATCTGTTTTTTTTTATGCTAGTGGGGTGGGACTAAGTCCCTTGTACTGCAGCCACTTCTGGCCTATTGTACCAGCCCCAGATGATAGGTGAGGGTGATTGTGGAGCAATTGGTGGAATGAAGATTGGCAGGGGAAACCGAAGTACTCGGAGAAAACCCATAGGGTTGTGAAACGTTGAGGGTCCCACATTATCTAGACAATCGGCCCAAAGATGGCGGTAAGGTTGTCAGCCTTATGCAGCGGCCACGCTTTACTCCCCAGGAAAATTATTTATTTAATTCCTGGTACTCATTTCTGTTAGAGGCTGAGTGAACCCCAGGGCCATACAGAAGAAAATTGTTTTATTTTTTGTTCTTGTTTTATTTGGTAGCAGATGGAACTGACATATGTAGCAGGAGACAATGGAGAGGACATTGGCTTGCAAAGTGTGCAGTGTGCTACAGTTCTGGAACGCCATGGTGTACGCCGCTCTGTGTCTGAGCCTGATGATGCTGGTGATGATGCTGATGCAGATACAACAGGCTCTGAAGAGCCTGACAGCGCACCTGACAACCAGACCCTCATTCGGCTGCTGGAGGAACAAGAAAAAGTAAGGCAACAGGGGAGATTGTAGTTATTTGGGGATTCTCCTAAACGCACTCCATATTTATTCAGCAGTTAATACTTAATGATCTTTATTGTTTGCATCCTGTTGTGTATTACTGTATAGTATCACTATAAAACTGTCAACATAACAAATTCATAATAAATAGACTAATATCCCTGTATTAATATTCATTTATTATGTACATATGATACATGTTTCAATCCAGCGGGATCATCATCAGGCAGTTTTCATGAGGTGTACTACTTGTTATTGATTTGCAGTTCTAATGTGGATCCATATTAGTAGTGATCATTAATATGAGTCATTACAGTTCCTATGTTTTGTCATATTTGAATATTAGCCTTAAAATGTAAAATTACCACATTACTGAATTAATAATTTTTCCCCATGCTTGTGTATTCATGTATGTTATTTAGCAAGGTCATGTAGCTGACCTGATATCTAAATACTGCTTCAGTTAAAGCACAGCAGTTCTAGACTTATTAGACTTCTCAAGACAAGTGAGTTACTATGTAGAACTTAGACATGAACCTGTAGGCTGCACCTCTCACCATCAACTACGAGGTGACTCATGCTTCAAAGTATTGGTAAAGGTAAAGCTGTCCCGGTAAGAGGCTGTGGAGGCCAGTATGATTGTGAGACGTTGAGGCTTCCACATTTTCTAGACAGTCAGCTCACAGATAGTGGTCAGGTTGTCAGCCTAATGTGCCCGCCACCCTTTATACCCCAGAAAGATTCCTGGTACTCATTTCCATTAAACATGTAATGACCTCATCAGGAATTGAACCTGCAACCTTCCAACTTGTAGCATGGAGCCTCACAGTACTGGTAGTCTTGTTATTTAATTGATGTCACATACACAGATCATGTTAGTTCTGTAATTGTAATCACCATTCCCACCCAGATTATAGTCTTCCAAGTTGTGATACCAGTGCTTTGGACTGACATTTGTCCATCTTATGGTTATAGCGGTTGGAGTGGTGATAGTATAAGGTTATGTAAGCAAAGTAACTAGGGAGTGGTCACTCAGAAGCGGTGGGGAGACCCTCTCCAGGCCAGTAGCAACAGTTGTTAGGGAATAGTGAGGAAACAGTCTTTTAAGGGATCAGGCAGATGTACAACAAACAGCCCCTTTCCAGGGAGCCACTATGCATTAGGATAGCTACTCTTCTGCTTGGTTCTAAAGGCTGCTTTCTCACTATTCTTTGATGTCTGGTCTGTTGTCTTGAAAATGGAGCTGGCCCCACTCTCCCTTCTGTGGTTCTGAGAGACCTCCCTCCAGTCATATTGCCTGCATAACCTGACCCAGTCACTACAACCCTGAAGATGGAGGCAACATATTCCCCTGAAATGTTGCTGACTACCTGTGTGGTAATATGGTATCACAACACATTCACTCCAATGAAAACTTCAATCTTCCTTCTCACTTGCTTATTTTCAAAGATTTCTTTAAATTTAGATGCCTGTATGCAGCATCTTGTTATCTTTCAGATCAGTCACATGTTCCGTTGTGCTCGCATCCAAGGCCTCGATACTACTGAAGGATTGCTGCTGTTTGGAAAGGAGCACTTCTATGTGATTGATGGCTTCACATTACTAAAGTCCCGTGAGATCCGTGATATTGAAAGCCTGCCAAGTGGAGCCCACGATCCCATCCTGCCCAGCCCAGGCAGTCCTCGTAGGTCACGGGCCATGAGGCAGTGCTCCAAGTTCAGCTATGAGGATATTAGGTGTGTGATAATGCTGTGAAAAGGTTTCTTCAAGGCAGGGGATTTGAACAAATTCCATGGTTCAGGACCTTCTCTTTCAACAGTTGATAATTATTCATCTGACCAAGAAATTTCCTGTTGTTATGGAATCCACCAGTTTATTACTGTGTTCACTAGGGCCTGTTATTAGTCCCTATCCAGAGGCAGTTTAGTCTAGTTCACATCTTCCCCTACCCATTTCTCTATTCAGTTATTCAGTATAGAGGGGGTGGGTTTCCCCATGCACCGCGACTAATAGTCTATTGTACGTCCCCCTTTAATTTCTGCTATCGCCATACCCTACCGATACTGGTGCCTGCTATCTCCCCTTTCTGCCAGTGAGGTCGGCCCTCTACTGGCAGTGGTACCCGATAATTCTCCCCTTTCTGCCAGCAAGGTCGGCCCTCTATTGGCATTGGTACCTGATAACTTCCCCATCTACCGGAGGCATTGGAAACTACTTGGGCGGGAAACTTTTTGCCTAATTTTGCTCAGAGGTCTCTAGAGACATGAGGATCTTCTGCGTGCAGTAAATCTACGACACGGGACCCATGGCTTAAAGTCCCTCCCGGAGCACTTGTTCCCTGAATTTTTCTGCCCTTAAAAATTCCACGACCTCCACCAGGTTTGAACCCACGTAACTTGAGTCATGAGGTGGGAACGTTACCCCTAGACTGTGGAGGCCGCTACCCATTTCTCTATCATTGATTGTAATAGTAGCATCTCATCTGTGATTGTGAATGTGAACACTAAGCTGGGATATCCTCAACTGGAAGGAATTTACTAGGCTACTTTAGCTGGAACCATAGAAATTGAAAGCTGTACAAGAGACATCCTTCAGTTGAGGAACTTCCTGAATGGGGAATTCACTGTGAGATAGAGTTATGCATACCAACCTGACAGTCCATTTGACTCATGTATGCAGTAATTGGCACACCACTTAATTTAAATATTCTTTATGATATTGGACTTTGTAGTGGTCATTTTAATTTAGAGCATCAGGCATAATGCATTGTAACTTTTCAACATCATCACTGTCTCTGATGTAATTGGTTTTCATTTTCTCAGCAGACCTCTCCAGAATTTTGCCTCTGTTTCTCTTACTTTTACTTTTCTTTGTAAAATTCCATGTTTTTGCTCCATAAATTTTAAACATTGTACTTTTAAGTTTACTGTAGTATATCCCTAATTCATCATTAACCATTTATGTGAAAAACACAATTTAGAATTGTTTGAATTCTCCTAATAATTTTAAATTTGATTGATTGCTTAGGAAGCCCCAGGTAAAAGCAACTTTTGAATTGAATATACTTTTTTTTTATCAGAGAAGTACACAAACGCCGATATCTACTACAGCCAATGGCATTGGAAGTCTTTTCTGGTGATGGGCGCAATTATTTGTTGGCATTTCCAAGGAAAGTTCGCAACAAAGTGTATCAGCGGTTCATGTCTTTCGCAACTTCCATAGCTGACAGTGCACAGCAGTCTGTGGCTGGACAGAAGAGGACAGCCAATGTGGAGCAAGGAGCAGGCCTGCTTTCCAGTTTGATAGGTACACTGAAATTTTGTTTACTGTGTTGTTGAAAAGAAATTGTCTGCATAGACCTTCAAAATATTTGTTGTGATTTTGCATCCCTCATTGATTGCCAGAGATTCTGCACTGTATGAAATTATACACTGCAGTTGTTGAGTTGTCTAAATTCAGGGTTATTGGCTTCAGACTATTTGACTGCTGCGTTTTCCATATGTCTCCAAAAACTTAACGATTAGTGCTGCCGCCTAGTGAGGGTAAATGGAATTCAGTTTTATAAATTGCAGGAACTGACTGATGGATTCCTGGAACTTCATAATTCATATGGCAATACTGGAAAAGTGAGCAGGTTGATAAATATTGTACAGAGTGAGAAACATTTAAATAAAATAGTAATTAAACTTAAAATACAGACTTTTATGTCCTATGTATTTTTCAAAAGGAAATTACAGCAGGGTCATAATACTTTCTCTGTGACTGTATAAGAAATTAAAAAAATTCAGCTGAATTTTATATTAAAATTGACTTTTTTTATTCACACTCCCCACCCCCCACAGAATCCCTTCACGCCCTCTCAGAGGGGCATGCACCAGATTTTTGGAACTACTGTTTCAGATGTTAAGGCTAGATGTATTTATATTTTGTCTCTTATGAGATGTTTTTGAGGAATTAGATGCAGTTTTATTTGAACACAGAAATGTTGATGCAACCTATAAGCTTTCATTTTTTCACACATGTTGTCAAATGGAATAACAGACCCCTTAGAGCTGAGTCCTCCATGTAAAGTTGATATTAACTCAGCTGGTCAAAAAATTCACTGTGATTTTATAGAACCAGGAAGTTCTTTTTGTTCACAAGAGCCCATCATAAATCCCATCCTGAACCAGATTAATCCGGTCACACTCCCATGCCCTATTTCTTTAGTAGTCACTTCAGTATTACCCTCCTGTCTGCCTAGGTCTCCTAAATTGTCTCTTACATTCAGGTTTTCCACATAAAATTCTATATACATTTATATCTCTCTTGTGTCTGGTGTGTGTCCAACTTTTCTTATCCTTCTTGATTTGACCACCCTAATAATATTAGATGAGGAGTAAAAATCATGAAGCTCCTTATTGTGTAGTTCCTGTCATTCATTTCTCTCTCTCTCTCTCTTTTTTTTCTTGGCACTACAGCCCCAGTGGGCCTAGGCCTATCTCCATGAACTTCTCCGTTCACTTCGGTTTTTCTAGATCTTACACATTCGGTAGGACTCCTTGGGCGGGTGATCAGCTCGTCGCAAGGCCTCTATCTGTACACAAACACAGAAAAATACATACACACACAAACTAAACATCCATGCCCTGAGTGGGATTCGAACCCACGATCCCGGTTTCCAAGCGAGCGAAGACAGTGCATGCCTTAGACCGCTCGGCTACTGTAACCGGCAGTGTATAAGAATAATATAAAAGAATTCAGTTCGTACCTCACAGGAAACAGATCCGAACCCACAATCCCGGTTTCCAAGCGAGCGAAGACAGTGCATGCCTTAGACCACTCGGCTACTGTGACCGGCCATTCATTTCTCTTAGGTCCAGATATTCTCCCTTTTACCATTTTCCCAGATACCTCCAGTCCATGTCCTTCCTTTCAGATGAGAACCAAGTTTCACTCCCATAAAATGCAACAGATAAAATTATACTTTTATACATTTTACACTTCAGATTTTTATTTAGTATTAATGGACACTTGACAAGAGCTTCTTATGTCTGACTAGGTGAAACGTCGGTGACACAGCGCTGGGTACGTGGTGAAATATCCAACTTCCAGTATCTGATGCACCTCAACACTCTGGCAGGCCGTTCATACAATGATCTCATGCAGTACCCAGTTTTCCCATGGATTCTGGCTGATTATGAAACAGAAGAACTAGATCTTTCACACCCTGCTACTTTCCGGGATTTCTCCCGCCCTATGGGTGCCCAGAGCCCAGAAAGGCTTGAACAGTTCAAGAAAAGGTATCGTGCATAAGCAGAGACATATATGTATATTTGAGTTCTTATATAGCTACTCTCTGTTGTTTTCATATCTGTATTTCCTTTTATTTTCCCAGTTTTCATTCTTAACTTCTCTGGCTTCTGTTGTTAGTTCTACTATCTCACTTAAGTAACAAAACTTCTTTATTTTATTGTGTTTCCAAGGAAGTATACTTTCTGGATTCACGCGTGGCTGGGTACAGCTAGTAGGTATATAAAAACGCGCGCATTCGAATGCAACATTGTATCAAAATTTCAAAGCAATCGGTGAAGAACTTTCAGAGATTTTCAAGGGCAAACAAACGAACATTTACATATTTATTTATACAGATGATCAATTTGTTCATTTTGCAGTTATTGGTGAATAACTAATAAATCATATACCATATTTACGCATGTATAGGCCACACATTTTTTGCCAAAAATTCAAGAGGAAAACTGGGGTGCAGCTTATATTTGAAATATTCGAAATCACACTTCATTTAAAAAAAATTAACGTTGCCAAATTTCGGAATAATTTCTACTCCTGACGTAATATTCCAAGAGAATTATTTTTTCTATAATTTCTGTCTGAAAATTGTGCTGCGGCCTATACACGCACGCGGCCTATACATGCGTAAATACGGTAATTTAATTGTTGAAATGTGTAGTTGTAATCATTTACTAAATACTTTTACAAATTATTTGTTACAGGTACAAAGAATGGGATGACCCCCATGGTGAAACTCCCCCATATCATTATGGTACACATTATTCATCAGCCATGATTGTGTGTTCATATTTGGTTCGAATGGAACCATTCACACAGCATTTCCTCCGTCTTCAGGGAGGTCATTTTGACCTTGCTGACCGGATGTTTAACTCTGTAAGAGAGGCTTGGCTGTCTGCATCGAAACATAACATGGCGGATGTTAAGGAACTAATTCCAGAGTTCTTCTACCTTCCAGAGTTCCTATGCAATTCCAACAATTTTGATCTTGGTAGGTTTCAGATGGGACACTATTGTCTCGTATTGTTCATGCTTTTCTCTTTAATTTTTCTTAAGTCATGTACTTAAATATCATGAAACTCTGTTTTAGAATCATCATATAAAATCTTGAATAAAGACACCATTACCCTCTAATATATGATATGCATCATGGAAACCCACATCATATTGACAAAACATAAATACTATTTAAAAATTTTTAGCCCTAAAGATTATTTTTTATTTAGTTTCTTGAGGTGGGGTGAGACTGAGTCCACTTGACACATCGGCCACTAATTAGCCTATTGTACCAGCCCTGGATGATATATGATAATGTGGAACAGTTGGTGGAATGAAAATTGGCAGGGGAAACCAACGTACTCGGAGAAAACCTGCCCCATCACCACTTTGTCCACCACAGATCCCACATAATTTGACCTGGGATCTAACCCAGACTGCAGCAGTTGGAAGCCTGCGACTGTGCACCTGAGACATGCCACAGCTGCCCTAAGGATTAACTATAGTATAAAAAGTATCATCATATGTTATAGTGAGATATATAAATCAACGGATTTTTAAAATGATACTAGCATAGATCCATATTAGGACAATTGAGTAACAAGCATGCATTTAAGAAATTGCATGATGGTGATTCAAGCATAGATTGAAACATATAGCAGACACTAAATAAAAGCAATGTTAGTACAGTGATATTGAAGTGGTTTGTTTGATAATTTGTTTTGTTAAAAAACCACATGAAATGGAGAGACCACTTGGGAAACAGACATGGACANATATGTGGAGGTTAACACCACATATACACGGTGCCAAATCCCAGAAGACTGCTTTCTTCATAGTCACCGCCGTGAAAGCCTCAAATCTTACATTTATAGTCATGGTTTTCGTAAGAACCAGGAGTTCTTAATGAACTCACTGTTGTTGCTTTTCAAGTAAGACCCTGTAGCATAGAGTCAATAGAAAGTTGCCTCTGTGGATAGGATGTGGAGGTAAAGCTCCACACTTTCATAGTCTGTGCAGTACATATGCATGACTGTGTTGGGTACTTCAGAATGTACCTGTAACCAAGTTACATCCTTCATAGGCAAAGATTACAGTTACCTTCCGATCAGTAAAATATATTGTAGATGAATTCTGATACAAAATGCTAGCAGTTTTAGAAATGTTATTGTCAACTTACAATATTATTTGTGATCTTCATTCCTAGTGCCAAAAATCTGGATGTTTCCAATTTATGAATATAGATCAACAGCCAACAAAATTATACAGCGTGAAGTACATTACATAGGCTTTCTTATATACATTCCACATGCTAAGAAAAAGAAAATGAAAAAAATTGCATATTGCCCCATAAGTTTACATGTCTGGCTGTACTTAGCCTCCATGATTTAATCAGCACTGCAATGTACCAAATTTAGAAAATATTATTACTTTCTCAGGCTGTAAACAGAATGGTGTTCAACTTGGTGACATAGTGTTACCACCTTGGGCTAAAGAAGATCCTCGTGAGTTCATCCGCATGCATCGGCTGGCCTTGGAATGTGACTTCGTGTCACAACATCTGCATGAGTGGATAGATCTCATCTTTGGCTACAAACAGTATGGACAAGCAGCCATTGAGGCTGTTAACGTTTTCCACCACCTCTTCTATGAAGGCAATGTGGATATTTACAGGTGAATTGACTGAATGTATTAAATATTTAATTCAGATTATTTCATTTTCCTCTTTTCTTATGGAACCAGAATAGGTTGGTATAGAGACTGACTACAGGCTGGAAGACGGAGGGCTTGGAGTCCGAGTCCTGGTAGGGTGAAAATTTTTCTTCTGTCCACATCCAGACCAGACCTTGGACCCACCCAGCCTCCTATTCAATGAGTACTGGGCGTTCTTTCTGCGGGGGTAAAGCAGCTAGGTGTGAAGCTGACCACTGACCTCAAACTAGTACCACGGTCAAGAAAATATGGATCTGTACATCCGCTCCCCCATACTTCTTTATGGCATAGTGCTTAGTTAAGTACAGGGACAACTTTACCTACTATCTTTACCTCTGTCTTTGTCTAAATGTCTAAAGCATAACAATTGTATACATGTGTTGTGGCTATGAAACCTGGTCACTCTCTTTGAGGACAGAATGCAAATTGAGAGAATAAAGAGAGTATTTGTGGGGTTATAGATGAAAATATGTCGAAAAGGAATGGAGTTTCTGCTTATAAAACATAAAGGAAAAAATTATTATATGCTTATTTGTATATTACAAGGTATTTTATGAAAATATTTATATATTTCCTGGGACGTAATGTCATATAATACATTAAAAATCTACTGGGCTTTTTGGAGGAGCAGGTCATCACCAATCTATGGGCTATAAGAATAAGCCAAGCAAGACACAAGCATGAAGCAGGTAGCAAACAGTCCCAGAAGATAAAATCCTTCTTTGCTCTAAAAACCTCAATTTGTACATATTTTATACAAATTTCAATGAAATTGACTTTGTTTCTTAATCAGCATTGATGATCCTTTAAAGAAGAATGCTACAATTGGTTTTATCAACAATTTTGGACAAATTCCAAAACAATTATTCAAGAAACCTCACCCAGCAAAGAAAATCAGTCACCGCACATCTGTGATTGATCCAGGGCCAATCACTCCAGGTCTTAGCTTTACAACTGGAGACCGACTCTTCTTCCACAATCTTGATAACCTTCGTCCTTCACTGCAGCCTATCAAAGGTATGGTTTGTTGCTTGAGAAACACTGTGCATGAGAATATTCTTAAACAAACTGTGAGTTGGATGTAGAATGGTGCACTGGGAGGAAGCAGCTATGCCATGCTTTATCTGCTTTTAGGGCTGAGGAAACCAGAAAAAGGAAGTAGGAATTCTGGGTATAACTAATAAAGTCTGGTTTCCTATTACACATCTGTTGCTTGAGTGATTTTTTAGTAGTTTCAATTCTAAATATATTACACATCATCATCATCATCATCATCATCATCAAAGAAGGTATTACAGGTTTTGTCTGCATAAAATTTGTCAAAGACTCACACCATTAACACTTTTAGNGGAGGAGCCACTCAAGAATTTCCCAGCATGTTATGGAACCCGAAGGTTCATCACCATGTTCAGAAGAGCTCTCCACTGGTCCCTATCCTGAGCCAGATCTATCCAATCCATACCATCCCATCCTATCTCTCTAGGACCCATTCTAATATTGTTCACCCACCTACGCCTTGGTCTTCCCTGTGGTCTCTTTCCTTCTGGCTTTCCCACCAATATCCTATATGCATTCCTCGTCTCCCCCATTCGTGCGTGTGTCCATTCTCACGTGACAGTCACATACGTTACTGGTGAGTTAACTCTTTTCATGCTTTCTTCTTGATTATAGTTTTATTACATAAAATATGAAAATCTGGTTTCTTTTGTGGTGGCATAATAGATAACGGAATGCTTCTTATTTTTAATTTAAAAGCTTCAGAGCATGAATACTGAATAGTTTGCATGTCAGGTTGGGTTTTCCTCTACTGAAATTTTCCCCGTTCTTCTCAGTTTTCCCACAAGCACCCATCTTGTACCTGTGTCTTCTGTTTCCCTGCTCTCTGCTGCATTTCTACTGCCTCCTGCATTTTTTTTGGTCTCCCTATTGGTGTCAAGTTTGGAATTCCAAAAACTTAAACAATCAAGAAAGGAGACATAAGTTTCGGACTTCTCAGGTCACTTACAGTTTGTTTTTGCAAATGTACTCATATTTCTCCTGGATTTCATACTAGTAATGTGGCATTACCTATGTGTGTGCGCTTATATCCCCCTCCCCCACACATGAACATACAGTTTTGTTGTAAATTTTGTATTTATTAAATTCTAAAACTCAGACTGCAGCAGGGTATTAACACAGGCCTTGCAGGTGCAAGTGCCCAAGAGTATCTAGTGCCTCTTATCACATGACCTTGGTGGCATTAGTATTTGATAGAACAGAATGATTTTTAGGATTGATGTGTTCTATGTTTTCAATAATTTGAGAGAAGCATAACACTTTTATTTAAATTACAAGATGTTTTCAAATACAAACACTGAAGTTGCTACGCACGAACACAGAATGATTACTAGAATTGATGTGTTCTGTGTTTTTCATAATTTGAGAGAAGCATAACACTTTTATTTAAATTACAAAATGTTTTCAAATCCAAACACTGAAGTCGCTACACATGCGCATACACAGATTTAAGTGCATAGGACAGGAGTGCTGAAGACATACACAGGAACTCCTATAGATGCTAGCAAGTGAGATGGAATAGAAGTAAACCATAAGAAGAATAGTTACATGTTGTAAGTTTTTAGGTCTTCATGGTGCTGATTGTTCAGATTTTGGTCTTCTAAATTGTAACACCATGTAGGCTTGTAGCAGGCTTCACCTTCAGGGTTGAAGTGTGTAGGTTAAGGAACTGGCTCACTCATGTATGCAGGTTGCAAGGAAGACCAAGTACTGAACTTCTTTGCCTTGTAAGAAAACACAACCATGTCTCATGTCACTGCATGAGGTTATGGTCCACGAAATACAGTCCACCACTGATTGGCAAGACTGCATTCAGCAACTGTTCATATCACTTTATTTTATGTAACATTATTTTAAGTATTTAACAAATCTTATGACTTAGACACCTCAAATCTTTGTGCATGCACGTGAGAGAGAGCGAGCTCATTTAATATTTCAGTATCTCCTGATAATGGTCATCTTATGACCAAAACATGTAAGGAAAACGTTTCAACCATAAAAGGAAATAAATTAGTTATACTTAGGTGGTAATGTCACATTTTATTTTAGTGGTTGAAGTTTATTAGCAGAATGAGCTCTATCAGATGATGGTTTTGATATGAACCTCATTTCCATTGTTGCTTCCAATGTGCGTGATACACCATTGTATGAGATGTACTGTGATTTGTAGGACTGTTTTTGAAGGAAAAACATGTCTTATATACCAGGAAATATGGTAACTTTTTAAGATGAGCCAAATTTTTACATAGTCCAGTATTGACCTGTACAACTGGCCATTTTCCCTGCAGATATGAGATTTATCTACACATTTCTGGCCTGTTTCATTAAAACTGCATAGGGAACAGCATAGTGACCAGTCTCATTTCAAATTGTAGTCCAGTAATAGTACATACTATCCCAACATTTATTTGGATTCTTGCAGAGTTGAAAGGACCGGTTGGTCAGATTCTGCATTCAGACAAGAACATCCTCGCAGTGGAGCAGAACAAAGTGCTGGTACCACCATCATACAACAAGTATGTCGCATGGGGATTTGCTGACCACAGTCTGCGTGTTGGCAACTATGACAGTGACAAAGCAGTCTTTGTTTGTGAAGCCATGATGCAAAGCAATGGCGAGATTGTGGCTTGTGTGTGTCCTTCATCAAAGCTCATTGTTACAGCTGGGACAAGCTCAGTAAGTAATTGAGATGTTTTGTGAAGGTTTCCACTAAAGTCTCCCTATACATATTCCTGAGACATTTATGAAGACAGTCTCGTTCACCATCCCAGTTATCTCCAGAGTGTATTAAGGAGCTGACAGTTGCTCAGTTGATCAGAAAATTCCCTGATTTAAATATAAAGTTTCATTTCTGTGTTTATTAAAGTATATCACTGAACCCTATCGTGAACTAGTCGAACTTAGTCCATATCCATAAGTTTCATTTTAATAATATCTCATCTATCCCAAGGTCTACTCAGTGGATTCTTCTCAAGAGATTTTCCAACAGATTTGGTCACATTTCTTATACCTTATACAAATATGTACTGGATGGTCAGTCCATCTCATTGTCTTTGGCTTAATCATCCTAAGTAATAACATTATAACAAAGTACAGACTATGAAGTCCCTTATTGTGTAATTCTCTGACTTCTTTGTCATCCCTTGTCTGTTAGGCTCGTACACTGCATTATATGTAACACACTTTTCTCAAGCACCCTCATGCTGTTCTTTTCTTAAAGTGACAGAGTAAAGTTTCACACCCATGTAAAATAACAGGTAAAATTATAGATGGGACACACAGATGCAAAAGATGCTGAACAGAATGTAGCAACCAATCAATCAATCAATTTATTTGTTCCAAGAATCCATATTTGGTGATACAACATTGGATATAGAACAAGTCAGTAACGACATATTAATATATCATACATGAGACAACTACACTATAAAAATTAACTACCTACAGATTTCATACACATCAATCATACAATCCATCATTCCACTTGCAACAGTTCAATACCCAAAAGAAACCCTGCATCCAAATTTTTTTTATGGATCAAGTGAGGACAAGATATTTGTCATAACATAAAACCATAACACACTCACTTAAGAATTAAAGGGACATAAATTCATTGATGGAATAAATGAAATGTTTCAACAGAAAGGAGTTTAAGTCCCTCTTAAAAGAGTTAAAATTTTTCTTTAATTTTATCTGCTAAGGGACCTTATTATACAGGGTGATTCAAGAAAAGGAAAGAAGAACATGGTGCATTTCTACTTTTGAGTTTCGTCTACCCTCAGGTGGTGACTGTGTGGGAATATGCCCACAAGCAGCTGAGTATCAAGCAATGCCTCTATGGCCACACAGATGCAGTGACTTGCCTTACTGTGAGCCCTGTGTACAATGTTATAGTGTCAGGATGCCGTGACACAACAGCCATCATCTGGGATCTTTCACGACGTATATTTGTACGTCAGCTTCAGGGACATGTGGCCCCAGTAGCTGCTGTGGCAATCAATGAGCTTACTGTAAGTAGTGTCGTGCCAAGGACACAAATTTGATTTGGATTTGAAGCTTCAAGGAACAGAATCTCATATATATATATTTAAAACTCCATGCTAGTACTGGACATCATTCATGGACCTTAATTCGGGTGTGTTTTGAATGTCTTGTATTTTCCTTTACATGAAACTTCAAAATATGAACTCAGGAGAAAGATCTTCTGTATATACTTTTATTACATTTAATAGCAGCAATGTTGTCACATCTTTCAGGATGTTTCTCACTAAAGATATTAGCCACCCACACTGGTTTTGTAGAATATTAAAACGAAAATTACTTTGTGTTATCATTATGTATACATATTAGAACTACTTTTTCTCCTCAAAGTATTTATATCAGGTTACTGTAGAATAATAATTTTTTCACCTGAATTTCAAAATTTCCTTCCTTTAGCTGTGATATTTCTTTCACTGCTTCCACTTATTTTGAGGTAAAATTATTGCCATCTGTTGATGAAGATTTTGAACATTAAATTTGAGATACAATGAAAGGATGTCAGAACATACTATTATAATTATTTGTTTGATATGTGACATAGGAAAGGCAGAGAAAATGAATTTAAACTGCCTGACTGTGAAAGGCAAACCATAATTAGTTGCAGAGATCTTCATTGTGGCTACAAAAATATTTTTGAACTCTAAGCTCCTCTAACATTATATCTTATTATAAAGTGCTGCCTTTCTATTTCTGTATTTCTGTTTCATCATAACTTCAATTTCAAGTTGTCTTACTTTTTTTCCATTTACATATGACTTTAAAGAGGTACAAAAGCACACAAATGTGGCATTAAGCAGACATGATGTGTACTTGCCGCCATACTTGAGAATCAGAGTTACTTTGAAGCAGTATAGACCTACATGTTGAATTTAAGGATGTATTCATAATTTACAGATTTAATGAACATTGTATGGCATGTATATTGTTTTAGTATGATGAATTGTTTTTATGGAAGAATGATAAGCCAGGTTTAAAATGTCCTCCTTTGAAATCTCGCATACTGTAGAGTAAATAGTTCAGAATTTGAGTTTTATGTTAATTATCAATTTGAATATGTTGAAATTTTGTTAATTTTTATTTTTATTTAGAATACTTCATTTGATTTCTAATAATTTGTAATTATGACAGAATAAGTATATTTTTATGTTGCTTGTCAGTTTGAATGTAAAAGAATAATTTTTATGTTAGAATATATTATTTAATTCTTAATTATTTGTAATTATTATAGAATAAGAGTATATTTATATTAATTTTCGGTTTGAATGTGGTGATATTTTATTTCTTTTTTCTTTTTTGATATTAAAATGTTTTGGTCAATTGTATAAGTAATTTGTAATTATGATGGGTATATTTATGTTTGGAATTACAAGTGACATCCAGGGCAAGGTCTGAATTAATTCAGGTTTGAAAATTTGAACATTTACTCCTCATAGGCAGACAGATCTGTAACTCTGCAATCATTTGTGTTCTGGCAGGGTGACATTGCAACTTGTGCTGGAACATGGTTGCATGTGTGGAGCATTAATGGAGTGGAACTTGCAAGTGTAAACACATGTGTGGGGAGGGCAGATCGAATGCAACAGATTCTGTGTGTTGCGTTCTCCCAAACACATGAGTGGGACTCGCAGAATGTTGTGATGACAGGCTCCACAGATGGAGTAGTCCGGGTGGGTAAATGAGAGATGGCGTTTGGAAATTTACTGGTGAGCGTATGTAATCACACCTTAACACAGAGTTAAGAGCCTTAATATGCAGATATCATGCCAAATTCATTTTTTGTAAAATGAAAAATTGCAAATATGATGACCATGAAAATCATTATCTCTTGTCCTCCCTCTTGTTTGCTTGTTGCTCCCACTTGGAGCATAGGGCACCAATGAAATGCTTCATTTCACTTCAGTTTCTTAATCTAAGAGAGTCAGTAGAACTCCTTGGACAGGGTATCAGCCCGTCGGAAGGCTGCTACCTACACAAATACAGAATAAACGCAGACATACATCCATGCCTTGAGTGGGATTTGAACCCACAATCCCAGTGTTTGAGGAGGCAAAGACAGTTCATGCCTTAGATCACGCGGCCACTGTGATCAGCTGTCTCATATCCAGTTTATGTTAACTGTTCCACAGTTATGAATGAATATGTCAAGTTTGGTTCCGTGATAGACACTGAAATGTGTAGTGGTCTTTAGACATTTTCTTGTTGAAATTTATAAATATAATGACAGTGTGAACCTTTCAGTTTACAATTAGCAGCATTTAAGTATTATAAATTGCAGAAACAAAACTTTTCACAAAGCCAGATTTTAAAGGAAAGTAGATGGAACAAGTTCATTCTAAATCTTCTTTATGCAAGAGGAAGTGGGTACTTTATTGGGAATTATTTTCATTCAGATTAACCTTTTCATATACCCACTCATCTGAACCTCTTGAAGATGGTAGAGATGAGCAAGACTTAATTAAAATAGTTAAAATGTAATTGTTTTTCCACATGGAAGGCCTCTCTCTCTTCTAATCTGGTGCACTAATCATGCTGATAAGAATGTTGAACCAGAAACTGTTAGATACATAGACTTTTAGGCATGGTATAGGAATCAACTTCACGAAACATTTGGATGAATATGTTCCTATTTAAAAGGTACAAACAAAACAAAAAACAAACTCTGTGGCCTATAGTCCACAAGCAAACTGTATGCATCAAGTGACCGCTGCTTGTCGGTAAAGTTAGTGCCAACTTTAGAGGACAGAGGGTGTCATGTGGTCAATGCAACAGATCCCCACGACCGTTAATTTCGGTTTTCTAGACCGGAGTCGCTATTTCCTTGAAATAGCTCCTCAATTATCATCATGAGGCTGAGTGGACCCCATTCCAGACCCACTACTTCTCAGAAAATATCTGGTAGCGCCGGGAATCGAACCCGGACCTCTGGATCTGTAGCCAGGAACGCTGACCACTAGACCACAGAGGCGGTTAAAAGTTAAATGTATATTTTTTTAAATTAGTATTATTATGTGATTTAGAACTCTTAATTTGAGTCTGAGTTTTATTTTATGACAGATGTGGTCAGTGGATTATGTTCAAGTCCCAAAAGAAGACAAATTAGGAACGAGCCATGATGAAAGTGAGGAGAATGGGGAGGCAGCAGCTTTGAGCAGGAAAGCAATATCTAGTCAACCAGGTGGGAACGCAGCATCTGAAGCTGATTCAGCTCAACGAACCAAACAGCAGAGGGTGGCTGACCTCGTCAAACAGATGAGCATGTCAGCAGAGTTCTCCACAAATGATTCAGGTATGACAGTTCTATACTAGGGCTGCCAGAACCTAAAAATTTCATACCACCAATAACAGAGCAGACTATTGAACCTTATTGCGAGCCAGTTCCATGTCACATCCATTCTGTTACTATCTTCCTGCTGGATCTTCCAGTTTGCCTCTCTTGTTACATTTCTCCATAAAAATTGTCAACATGTTTCACATTTCCCTCATCTAAGGTACTTGTCAAGCCCTGTGTTTTCACTGTGCTGTAAGGTAAGTTGTTTAAATGATAAAAGTTCCTGATTATGTAACATTCTGTATTCACCACTCAATCTCATTTATATCCAGCGACTTTCCCTTGCACCCCATTTTCAGGGACTTATGTCCTTCTGCCAGAGTAAAGGACCATGTTCCTCAGCTGTACAGTATATCCATATTTTAGACTGTATTGTTTTCAGTTTATTTTTAAGCATGTACTAGTTACTGGATTCACACTCCATATTGTCACCATCTCATTGTAGTACTCATCTTCCTCGAATGAAGTCATACCCATATCGTCTTTGCACTGAGAAACGTGTTGAAATTAAATTTTAATGCAGTGAACTCCAATCAAAACTTTAAGCTTTTCTTTTATTGCTAGTGGGGTGGGACTAAGTCCCTTGTACTGCAGCCACTTCTGGCCTATTGTACCAGCCCCAGATGATAGGTGAGGGTGATTGTGGAGCAATTGGTGGAATGAAGATTGGCAGGGGAAGTACTCAGAGAAAACGTGCCCCAGCGCCACTCGTCGACCACAAATCCCACTTGACCAGACCCAGGATCGAACCCAGGCCACCGCAGTGGGAAGCCATTGACTAACTGCTTGAGCTATGGCACGGCCTAAACTTGAAGCTTACTCTGATTTGTTTTGTTCAGAGTAGGTTATAACGGGCTGAATGTGAAGATACAAATGCATACAGAATTTTTCTGGGGAAACTCAAAAGGCTGAGTATGAAGTGGGACGATCACATGATGATGGATTTTAGAGAAATAGGTTGTGAGGATGGAAGGTGTATGGAACCCTTTCAAAATTGTGTCACTTAGTGAACATTGATATTAATAGTGTTGAACTGTCAGGTTTTGCTACCAGAGAGTTAGTTGAATAGTGTTCAGAAGATGGAGAACTTGAGAGAAGCTTGTTGTACTTGTCTTCTTTTCAGGACTTCTGAATAAGAGTGGCTCAGAGAGCAGTCTATCAGAAGAAGATGAATTGAAACAAGGGGACAGTGGAAGTAAAGAGGCACAGACGCAGGGAGAGGAGAAAGAATCATGCAGTGATGAAGAAAAAAAGAGTAAAGAAAATACTGATGCTGAAGGGGAACAATCTACAAATACAGGTACAACTATGAAAACACATTCAGGCAGAAGAATCAGTAGCACAGTCACAAACTCAGAACATGAACTTCACTATCCTGAGCTAATTCAGTTTCCATCCACAGCTGCATTGTCCCATTTCCCTAAGATTCATCATAATATTATCCTGTTGTCTTTTTTTTTCAACTGTAATTTTTTTTACATTTATCTGTATTCCTTGTTCATAATAAATATCCTATCCATCACTTTCTGCCCGAGTTTATCATTATAATATCGCTGTCCGAAGAAAACAGATTCCAGAGCTCTCTGTGATATAATTGTCTCTCTTTTTAAAATAATATGTTGCATCCATTTACACCAGAAAGAAATATATTTGAGTTTTCTTTCTGTGTGGTGAACATATTGAGCACCATGTATTAAGATTTTTCTTTTGTATGCTTATGAAAGTTGAAGGCTTCCTTTGAATAGGTGGGGATGTGAAACAGATTTAATAAAAAATCACACATTTATTTTTGAGCATCTCACCCAACTGATAATGCCAAAGCCTGCCATTGTTCCCTCACTTAAGCCTTCATTCCAATGTAAATTACCAATATCTGTTTCTATAAATAAACTTTAATATTGCCTTTGTATATTCATGGCCAGGAGTCTATCCTACCAAAATTGTATATGTATTTCTTATTTCCCCCCTGTTGTAGCAACTATTTCATTTCTTCATAACCACCTTAACAATAGTGAGAACTGAGTTTAATATATGAATGTAAATAGTGTTTTACTTGCAGAGGATTTTGGTCACAGTTGTGTGTGTTATGTCTGTACAGAAAGCATAGAGACAGTGGCCAGTTGTGAACAACTGCACCATGCTGGGAAGGGTGACCTTCATCGCCAACAAGCAGTCAGAGTGTCTAGTACCGAAACCCAGGATTCCCCTCAGCAGAGTCCTGTGATAATGCGTCGCAAGTCTTCTGCACGAGCCAACCCTGCTTTCAGAAAGAGTGAAGGCAGCCGGCTTCTGGTTGGGTCAGTGGAAGGTCATCAGCGTAGTCGGGCCGAGAGCGAAGGTGGACAAGGTAAGGTGGTTGCATTGCATACAAAAGAAAAAGGATTTTCATGAAATATTATTTTTATTATCAGTTAATTTTACTATATTATATGCTTAGCCTTTTTGCTCCCTCTTTTTCCATATGTCCTGTGCATGTAAATGGTTAATACAAGCTACTTGCATGCCATAACTTTCAAGCAGAATGTATGTAATAATTAAGTATATAGTAGTGACATAATTAGAAAACATTAATTTTTATTGTAATCATTAACCTCAATTGTTTCCCCTTTCCCAGTGCCTAAGGATTTGATGGGTACCATTTGCCCATCTTTATCTTTGTTTTCTAATTCTGTTCCCATAGCATACCCAGATTACTCCATTATTTTTTGTTTTCATTTTCTTTTTGGAAGGTAGAGATATCTGAAAATGTATCTAGACCCATAAATACACAGTATGACTTTTTGTGAAGCTAGTAGTTGCCTAATGACCGCCTCTGTGGTCTAATGGTCAGACTTCCTGGCTGCAGATCCAGAGGCCCAGGTTTGATTCCCAGTGCTGTCAGATTTTCTGAGAAGTAGTGTGTCTGGAACAAGGTCCACTCAGCCTCATCAGGATAATTGAGGAGCTACTTGAATAGAAAAGTAGTGTCTCCAGTCTAGAAAACCGAGATTAACGGGAATCCGTTGCACTGAGAACGCGGCACACTGTATCTGCAAAATTTGAGAGTAACTTCCCCGACAAGTGGAGCTCGGTATAGTTCGCTTGCGGACTATAGGCCACGGAGTTCATGTTCAGTTCAGAGTTATCAGTATCTACAGAGGTTATTCTGGTTAATTAGTGCTGGCTCCAGATATAATTCTTCATATTTATTTCTGAATACACACACATACACACATAAAACCATTAAAACTGGTCTCTCTGGCTTTTCAATGAAGATCCTTGGTGTCCCCTTTTGGGTTGATATTTGTGAAGTATTCCAGGATGTGGGAATTCTCCACATTTTTTAGATGTTCCAGTGCTCTTTATCTGTTGGATTTGAGGTTCTATTGCAGGTGACTGAAGAGCAGAGTCGTGTGAGTCGTGATGCCATGTAGTTTGGAGAGAGCGGGACATTTCAGGGGAACCAGTGGCGTGCCGTGCATGGAAGCAAGGGAAGCATTGCTTCCGTAGTTAAGAAACGAAAAGAAAAGAAGTCATATACAAATAATTCAATTTGAATAATAAGGATTTTAATATTGTCATTTAGCACGTGTTCCTGCTCAAGGCCACATGCCTCCTCCTTTCCCCTTCCCTTGCTTGGTGAGACGGACAAAGTTTCCTTTGTTATTCTCCGTTAAAGTTCATCGCACACGAACTGGGCAAGGAAGCAACTTTCTGTTTGCAGGCTAATGCCTGTGATATGGAAGCGAAGGCCTGTGTTCTGTGTGTTAACTTTTTATGTGTGATTTCAGTCTTGTTGGGTGTTATAGGTAACCTTAAGTTTTATTAAAATATTGTAAGTGTATATTTAGATGGCGTAAGATTGTATTTGTGATCGTATTTTGACGCATTAGAAAGATCTGCGTTTAAGGGAAGCAAATCTCTTACTGCGGTACACGGGCAGGGGCGTGATTAGACTACACGCACAGGCAACAGCTAAAATGAATGCTGGCAGACAACGCGACTGCGACTGTGCAATCGAAAGCCTTTTAAAATGGAGGTTTAATAGCGGGGACTTTTCTGAAAAAAAAAAAAATTATAGAAAGAGGACGACCGACATGAGAGGTGCCAGAACTTAAAGCACAAACCAAATTTAATTTGGAATAGTATTCTAAAACAGAGTGGCTATCCGGTTGCCGTAATATAGGAAAATTGTTTTGTTGGCCATGCCTATTGTTTCTCAAGGAAAAAATGTATGGAACAAGACTGGGTTTGGTGATACCAACAAACTTCATAAAGCATTGAAATGACATGAGAACTCTCAGACTCACATTATTTCAACAATGCAACTTGTTATGTTCGGGAAATCTCAAATTGACTGTCAACTTGACAGTCAAAAGCGCCTGACGATACTACCTAGAGAAATAATGAAACGCTTGATTGATGTCATCTGCCATTTAGGAAAGTGGCAACTTGGCCTTCGTGGTCATGACAAAAGCGTGGATTCTATCGACCGAGGTAATTATGTGGAATTAGTTCACGTGTTGAGGAAATATGGTCATAAACTCAATGTTCACCTTGAGAACAGTACGGTATTTACAGGCTTATCGAACAGAATACAAAATGACCTTACTGACTCAATAAGTGACGTAAATTTTGGTGAGTTGATTGCTATCAGTTCGATTATTAGGTACCACTGCTTCCCTTACCTAAAATAGTACTGCACACCACTGAGGGGAACCTATTAATTGGCTCCATTATCAGGGTTGAAGAGTAAGTCAAGCAGTAACCAGCAGAAGTGTATGGCAGGTGCCTACTTCTTCTGGTTTTTTGCTTGACTCACTCTTTGACTCTGAAGATGGAGGTGATGTACTATTCCTCCACAGCATTGGTGCTGTCCCCAAACTGAAACATGTTACAACTTACAAGACCGTCCTCTCCACTCTTATTCATTGTGCTGTTATTTTGCAACCATTTTGTGTATTTCTATATTTATCACTCTGTTGCGCCTTATTCTAAACTGTGAGCTGTGTGTTTGAAGCTGTACACAAATTCCCACAGCACTGAAGCCACTGGTAAAGCTCTCTCAGAGCTGTGTGCCATTAGCAATGCCTGGTTCCATGTTCTAGGGACTGGAAGCATTGAGAGTGATGGGGTCTGTGCAGGGGCAGTGCAGGAAGATGGCACTGGGGGCAGAATGAGGCCTAGTAAGAGTGATACAAGCCTCACAGATTCATTTGTGATGGTCGGAGAAAGTGATGTGAGTGACATGCCCTCCATGTTGAAAAAGGATGAGGGACAACGGAGAAGACGGAATCCACAAAACATACTCAGGGAAGGTGAGTAGGACTTGAATTAGTATTTACATTCATAAATGGAACCCATTGTTGTTCTTCCTGACATTAAGTTTAACTGACCTGTTCGGAGTATCACAGAATATAACCTTTTCAGGAGCCTTTGTAAGCCTCTTCTCTTCCCTTTTACGGAATATTTCTACAGTTTTGGGGGAAGATTCCATTAGAACTCGTTCCTTCAGTGTGCTCCATCTGATTTCCTTTATAATGTTCCTTAGAACTCTGTTAGTTTTAAACTTTGTGAGTATGCCCTCATTTATTAATATGCCTTTTGCTAGATTCATTCTGCTATGATGATTTACAAAACATGCATCACAGAGATGCCTTGATACTTTGGAATATTAATTAGCTGCCTGACCTTCTGAAGCATACTTGCTTTGCACAATGCCCTTGTTACTGGAGAAAACACTCAGCATCACTTTGAATTTGTAGCACTTGTACATTGCTTTCTTCTTCTTCTTCTTTTTCTTCTTCTGCTCCTCCTCCTCCTCTTCCTTCTTCTTCTTCTTCTTCTTCTTCTTGGGTTGAGGTGAGGAAGGGACTTTCCATTCTGATGATTACTGGTTGATTTCGGATCATACCTGTAAACACTTTATGATAATGAGTTGATCCTTCCTTAAGAGAGCTACCACATCAAAAGTGTATTCAGGAGAGAGAACTGTGGAATTCTTGAAATTGCTGTTCAGCGCTCCTTGCTTTAAGGTTTCCCCTCATTTAGTCATCAGTTTCTATGACAGTTCTCTCACTGTCAGCTTTTGTCCATGTGTGGTTTTCTTCACTGTACTGCATATAGCTGAGAGGCCCCAGAGATTTGGCTGATAGAAATGCATGGATCTTGTCGCTTACTATCTTGGCTTCCTCTATACTTGGCAGGCTTCAAGTGGCAGCGTCAGCTGGTCTTTCGTAGCAAGCTGACCATGCATACAGCATATGATCGGAAGGATAATGCAGAACCAGCCTCCATAACAGCTCTAGCTGTGTCCAAGTAAGTTATAATTCTAAAATTAATACATATGAGTGCACCACACAGAAACATGTTTGGGAAATGTTAATTTAACCCCTCGAAAGATATGGGTGAACCAACTGTGTTTGTAGCATGGGCGCCTCACAGATTTGGTTGAAACTACTTTCTGTTACATTTATAAAATTATACCCTGTCTCTGCTGTTGATATATGTAATAATATGTATATATGTAATAAATATTTGCAGTGTACTTGGCTTCAGAGTGTTTCATTAGTTCTTTTGTACTGTACAAACACAGATAAGAGCACATGCAGGTAAGGAGATATAATTCATAATGAATCCTTTAGGAAACGTTTTTCTCCAGTATATCAAAACATGTTAAACTTCTGAGATTTCAGATGGTTTGTTTGGGTTTTTAATTATATGTGTAAAATAGAGAACAGTTGTTTAAATCTGTCAGGCTGAATTGTAGATATTTTAAAACATAGCACAGCACAGTAAGTTTACCACCTGAAAGTTGGAACTGGTTTACTTTGCAGAGACCATCGTACAGTATATGTTGGAGATACACGGGGGCGTGTGTTTTCATGGAGTGTATCTGATCAACCAGGCCGAGCCGTTGCTGACCACTGGCTCAAGGATGAGGGTGCAGATACATGTGTAGACTGTGGGGTGCGCTTCACCCTTTATGAGAGACGACATCACTGCCGAAATTGTGGTCAAGTTTTCTGTTCAAAGTAAGAGCTTTATTTATTTTATTTTATTTTATTTTTTGGTCCTGACCAGAACAGTTATTGCCAGAGCTTGACAGCATTCTTAAATGATCACAAAATGAAGTTGTTCCTTCCAGTGTTGTGTTTGAGCATCATGTTGTGGACTGTATTTTGATAATGCTGTGTTATGGTGTCTCCACACAACACAGTGTTGTTCTCAGGTTTATGAAGTTACATACATGTGTAGTATATGTTAAATGTACATCACTGGCAACTTATTTAAACCTTGAGTAAGGTCAAGTGACTATTTCGACGTCCCCATGTACAAAATCCTTCGCTTCATTTGAAGCGCAGGATTGCTGAGGGGATAATCGAAAGGGGAAGCACAATACATCACTGTGGTCACGGTGCAAGGGGCAAGAAGGCCCACCCCTTATACATACATACATTCATTCATTCATTCAAAGTCATCTTCAAGCCTCATGTGTTCCTATGTGCAATCACTGTTATATATTTTAAGATTAGAAATCTGAAACAGTAGAAACTCATTTCATTATGGTCAAGGGACAAAATCTAAAATTAGTAACGGTTGGTACATGAAATTTGTTACATAAATTTGCTTAATCACCTTTGAACATGTGTACATCTTTTCTGAAGCTAGACTGTATGTGATCATTATTTTATGCAACAACATTTTTGCAATGCAATCATCTACGTTTTGTTCATGTTAAGATACTCTTTAAATTGTTGTCATCATTGAGAGTCTCGAGGAATTTACATCGTTAGAAAAAGTGACACCGTTTTAATGAAATGCCATGATTTAATTCAAGCTGTGAGCTTATCTGGGGAGGACTTAAATCCAGAATGCTAAAGAGCATTTTTTGTGTATGTGTGTGCCCTTTTTTGTTCCTCTTCAGGTTGAACATTTGAAATTTCTGAAGTGGGCAAAATTCGTACATGGCAACCTGCATCAGAATGACTTCCATTGTATGTTGTGTATGTGTCAAATAAATGAAAATTCAGCACTGCTATGGGTACTTTTCCTTCTTGTATTTGTTGTGTATGGCAGAAAATTTCTCCTGAAGAAGAAAAAGAAGAAGAAGAATCTTCTTTCCATGTATACTTTGCACTCAGTTATGTCTGCCTCTTTTAAGTTCTTCTCAGAAGTGGTTTATACTGAAACCAATAGACACATGTGAAACATAGATGTGCTGAAAGTTTGTAATATTTGTTCAAAATATTTTGTTACAGTATACATTTAATAAAATATGAGGGTAGAAGACTGCAGTGTACTATGTCTGCTGTTGGATAGCCATGTCAATAACGGATTTATATGTGAAATAAATAAACATCAAGACAGACTAAACTTTTAACATAAAACATCACTTTGCAGGTGCAGTCGCTTTGAGTCAGAAATCTCTCGCTTGCGCATCCTGAAGCCAGTCCGTGTCTGTCAGGGATGCTATGCCATTCTAAAGACGCAACACCACCCTGGTGACTTTACGGGAACATAGTCCAGTCCAGTAAGCAATATTTCCCCCACTGTATTTATTGTGTATATGCACAGGCGTGTGGTGTGTTTGTTTTCTACAAGTGCAGTGTTGGTAGATTTATCTCAACCAAGTCATCTAAAGTTTTTATTTTCCTTTTATGAAGGAAGGACTTTTGAGAAAGAGATGTATATGATCACATATTGTTATAGATACTTTACTTTTGATCTGAAATTTGTGTCAGGCATATGTGAACTGCTTACATTGTTACAGTCAGTCTGTATGTGCAGGAATCAGGCTGTCAGAGAGACCATATTACTAACCCAAATGATAGATGTATAGAAGTAATTATGAAAAAGGGTTCATGTAGCAGCATACTTTATATTTATTCTCATGAGTTAATCATAAGCAAATGGAATATAAGTAACTGAAAACTCCCTGGTGCTGGATAGTTCCAAGGAGTAGGAAGTAATTTGTTATAGAACCCAAAAGTTCTCTCTCACTACATAAGATTGTGCATTGTCTCTAGTCTACATCAGTTCATTTCTTCGATATACTTTTTAATAATCTCCTCTCTTTGCCTTGCTGTCCATCGCAGTCTCTTTTTGCAAGGTTCTTTAAAATTATGTTTGTGTATGTGGATCTGACACTTTGAAAATCATATAATTTTTTACTTTTTAATATAACATGAGAACTTCGTTTTTCAGGAAATTCCTCTTACAGCATATGGTCTGTGTTATGTTCTTGTACTTCTGAAATGAGCAAGAACATCTACTGTAATTCTGAAGAGTATTATTATCAAAATTTGTTAAATTTATGTTTAATTTGTAGCTTTCAGTCAGTTTATAATCTGTGAATTTCCTTTCACCACATAATCCATCAGAAAATCTATATGGGAAAGTCACAGGGAAGAGAGGTTGGTGTTTGACTGAACACTCACCAAATTTTGCACAGAAATTGAACTTCATTAGTTATGTGAAGTATTGTACCAGCTTGTTAAAACAAAACAGTTTTGATCCTTGTAGTAGTGCAAAGTAAGTTGAAACAAATGTCAAAACTTATTGTCATTAAGGAAAATAGGACTGAATATTGTGATGGCTCTTTGAGTGCATGCAGTGATCTGATGATTCACTGTAACATTTTGTTTATTAACACCAAGATCCTGTACATACCATATAAATTCCCAGAAACCCTGTGCTGGAGGGATGCTGGAATGTTAGGGAGGTACAGAAAGAAATTGTAACTCTGTTTCTGTTAGATGTAAATATGAATTTGTCATCTGTATATGAAATGATCACACTGACAGTAAAAGATAGGTTACTTATGCAAGTTTTGAGGCTCTCATTACAGTCAATATGGAGAATGTGAGGCCTTGTGGTCTGATAGGTGTTTGCTGTCATTTTGAAGAAACTTTTTGCCACCATCTTGAGAGGCAGAGATTATGTCAGGTGTGCAGGGGACATCAGTGCTGTAAATGTTTCATCTCTACCTTGATTCCACTGGTCACAGGTACACATAATGACACTTGATACTTGTAACAAATATTTTTAGTTCACCTTCAGAAGTTATTAATAAAAATAATTTATAGTTGAGTGGTAATTTTCAAAAGACACTCTTCTGAACAGTATCAAGGTGATGAAAACAATTTCTTGCTCATGAATGAAAACCAAAACGCATGTGAAATAAATTAATTCAAAGTTTGTTTCAAGATGGCAGATCCTTATTTTATCATTAGCTAATGAACTTTGCAGGAACCTGGGCTGTTACCCAGTGAAAAGTTAATTTCAGTAATGCACATAGTTCTTTTTGTATAAATTTACAAATATCAGGTTGGTAATATTATTACCTGTGGTGTTCTGGTATTACTGCCAAATGGGAGGAGTTAGAAGAAGCAGAGCATGCCACTTGGCTGTGAACAGATTCCTGATATCGAAGAAATGTGAAGGTCACAATGATTGCAAGGCAGAAGGTCATAGAATAGCTACAGATATCAAGGAACAGTTATCCTTGCCTTACTGCTATTAGAACATATGAGGACTAAATGATTGTGTGAGTTAACGCAAGGTTCTTAGCCTTCTAAGGGTAGAATTATCCTGAAATGATGGATTTTGAAAAGACATATGAGTACTGTTTTAATTTTGTTGCTTCTTGTAATAAGATCCAACCAAAAATGCAGTGAGGTTTTCCTGTCAAAATTTCATGTCTTTTTCTTATTTTCTCTGGGTCCTCTGTCTGAATTTTAATATTTTTTTATGTATTTACATCCTGATGCATCCAAAAGCATCATCATCACACAATGGTTATGAAAATGTTCATATTATCAGTATCCAAACGATTTTATGCAACTTAAAACTTGGGCTCAGTGTTTCAGCAAAGTATCTTAAACATACAGAGAAGCTATTGAAGGCTGTAAAACAGGACCAGAAAACATAAAATTAGTTCGGCAGCTGAGTGTGTATTGTCAGAAATTAATAGAATACATATAGAATTTTTTAATTTTCCTTCTGTGATCACTTGAAATACTCTATAGAAAAGATCTGAACTAATTATGCAGGATTTTTAGACAAACTAGTGTCATCAAAATGAAGAGTGACTTTTTAGATATTTGAAGTAGTGATTTCTTCAAATAAGGGAATAAATTTTAGACTAGAATCCTAGCGGTAACAATCCAGTTAGCAATGATGAAATGCTTTGTTTCATTAGCTAACTATGAACTTTGAGATTTAACTTATTTGTACTGCTTTTGAAATATCTGTAGATATGTGTATGTGTGTGTCTGTGTGCGCATGTGTGCGTGATGCTGTGTGGTGTACTTCTATGGTAATAGGGTATGCATTTAATTTGAACCCCTGTTTCCTGACAAAAATACGATAGAGAACAAAAATTACACGTAAATGAATATATACAATCAGTTAGGTGTTTACGTTAATAAGAGTCCTGTGTGGGTTCTAAAGAGTTTCCATTTATATGTCACAAGACTAACTGTGGTGGAACAGTAGAGAGGAGACAGACTGCTATATAGATGGTTGTGTCATGCAGGTAACCCAGTGTCTTAACCTTCTAACCAACTATAGGATATTCACTATAGCAGACAGATCTTTAATAATATTTGATGCTAGAAGTTGACAGAATTTAATAGACCTTTTTCTTTTGATGCCACTCTTTGTTAAAATTGCCATAATTTTATAATAGTTTAAGATATTGAAATTCAACAAAAGGAATGTAAAGGTTTATGAACCCTTAAGCTTTTGCATGTTTTACAATATTTAACAGTTATGTGAAATTTAAGTTTCAGAAAATGTGAAATATATAGTGGAAATGAATGGATTATAAAGATGTTTTACCTCTATGGACTTTGAACTGGCAACATGGCAGTGATGGAATACATTGCAGCTTATTTTGGACAAGTTTGTTTGTTTCAGTTGCTGTATTCTGAATTCATCTTAATTGACAAGACACAAATATCCACTTCAAATACACATCTGCTTGAATCATAGTTTATCACGCAAACTTCTGGACTAAAAGTATTATACATCAAAATGCTCCAAAGCATTTTACACAAATGTTCAGTAGTTCAGCTTGTGGTACAGTTTGAGACATTAGTAAACAGAATCATATATCACATTCTTCACTCTAGTGAAGTTATATTGAGATTTTTCCTGAATCGGAATGGAGAGGACATCTTTGAGAGCAACTCATGATAGAAGAGTGAATTTTTCTTTTCACCTTCAGCTTTCTCATTGCTTTTCGAAGCATAGGGGTGACCTGTAATAGCATTCACACTTTGTTTCTCTAGATAACATTATATGTCATGTATATACCCTTGCTGTCACAAAGCTTATACAGTTTTATTCCAAGTCTGTTTTGCTTTTCTTGAAACAAACTGCAGAAAACTCCACTCTTCCCATGAATTTCACAATTCATCCAGTGCCAAGTTCTTGATAACGTAATACAAAATGGAATAAACATTATTCATTACTGAGATATTCAAAAACATCTCTAAGCTCACATGCATTGTCATAATTTGAGCTTGTTATATCTGCTGGATGTTCATTAGTTTTGAAATGAAGAAAACTCATTATGAATAGAAATCAGTAATGTTCATGACTTTTGAGTAGAATGGAATATAGTACAGTTTGTTAGCAGACCAGTATGCCAGTGTGGTGTTTCAGTCATCATGACCCATGGGAATTATCAGAATATTGTATATAAATATATTGTTGCATTAATGCATCTTTTGTACACACACATTTCCGTTAAAATAATAAATACTCTGAAGCAAATATCTTTTAAATGAATGGATGGTGACCATAATGGAAATAACATTAAGATGTTAATTCGTTTTAATTAGGAAATACCACGTTTTACATTATATATAACTTTGACATACAGTGCCACAATTTTAGCAAGAACATAAGGCTTTACGTAGCACGTAAAAGAACCTCATATCTCCAAAGGAGGACACTGAGCCAAATTACGGACGTTTCCCGCCCAACAGCAGTCTCTAATACCTCTGGTAGATGGGGGAAGCATTATAGATACCTCTCAGCTAGTAGAGGCAGTCTCGCTGGCTGGGCGGGACTGATGGTAAGCACCAGTTCCAGTAGGATATAGAGACTGGTAGAAATCATAGAGGGAAGCACAATGGACCAATACAGGTCTAAGTGCATGGGGAAACCCACCCTCTCCAGTAACTAACTAACTATCTTTGCAGCATTGAAATTAGCAGTAACTTGGTAATTCATCTGAGCTATATAACAGTTTTAAAGATCTTCACTTGGGAAAACATGTTTGGCATCCATTCATGAAATCAAATTATCTGGAAAATGGTCTTGCCAGTTAAGTGTCAATGACCAGATCCATGACTTCTCAGTCACACCCCACAAATTTCTGGGAGGTACAAGAAAATTGAAGTAAAGGAACAAAATAAAATTGTTACTATAGGATTCTGACGATGGTGTATAACACACTGATATGTTGGGATTTTGGACTTTATCCATCGTCCTGGTTTTTAAGATAACAAATAAAAACACGACGTTTCGGAAACTGGATCTGTTTCCGTCCTCAGGTGAAGGAAAACACCTATTCAGTTGGGTGTTTTCCTTCACCTGAGGACGGAAACAGATCCAGTTTCCGAAACGTCATGTTTTTATTTGTTATCTTAAAAACCAGGATGATGGATAAAGTCCAAAATCCCAACATATCAAAATAAAATTGGTTTACCCAAGATTTTATGTAGTATTAAAATGTAGTCTCTTTTATAATGTGTCATTCTGATTGAACAAGTCTATGTATGCATTGTTTTAAGATTTCCTTAAGGTTTGTCCATCTGCTGAAATGTTTTTACAGAGCATAAGCAAATTGTGACACCTTACTATTGTTGCTTATTGGTGTTTGTAAAGCAGCAAGTTTTCTGGTAAAGTGCCATCACAGTTGTGTTTGTGTTGCCGTGCGCACTGTTGTATGAGTCTGTTCTGTAGAAATTGTACCCTGGTCAGGATGTTGGGTACCATTATGGTTTGAATGAAGTGCCTCAACTACTGTAATATTTTAGTGAAACAAATCACATTCATAAGCTCGTTAGTATTTGGGCTTATTTCTAATTAGAAGTTAGTATTATGCAGTATTTAGTCAACGTACCGATAGTATGTTAATCTCTGTATATGTTGTTGGCAGTATTATGATGATTTTGTTTTATACAACTATGAATTAAGCTGGTCAGTGAACTGAAAACATTTCTTATTTCTTTACTCTTGAGTGTGTTGCCCATAATGAAACTTGTGCTGAGAGAAAATGTTTTTAGGACATTTATTAAACATTGAATCTCAGCGACCATGTCACTTGCCAGCAGTAGTTAATGTACAGTATTTTATTTTATTTTCTTAGTTTCATAAACAAGTGCTTGGCAATGCCAGAACAGATTTTAAGGAACTGAAAGGGATGAAAATTAACTTTATCTAGAAATTTGTTTTTAAATGTGTGTGTGTATATATGTCTTTACATAGTGAGAAATATTGCTGTGTTTGTGTAAAATGAGAAATGTGTTACTGTGAATGGAATCTCAGTTAAGGCAATCACTCTAGTGAAGGTGGTGATGTTGCATTTCTGGTGAGTGTAACATCACTTCTATTTTCTATTGCAATTTGACATCTTCTTTTTGCCACAAGTGAATCATATTTTGTTACATATGACACCTTTGTGATTGTGCAGCATCAGAGAACAAGTAGTGAAGCTGCTGGCATTCACCATTGCTCACTGTACACCTCAGAATTATTATTGCCTGTTTGAAATTACCAACATTTTACTGAAAAATGTCTTGCAAAATTCATTATTTAGTTAAACAGAGATTTTGTGGTGCAGGAAAATTTTATGAATGATTATTTATTGTGAAATTTGGCAGATTGAGTTTTGTACCAAGTTAAATGTTTTTACTTTAGTTAACATCACATTTGTATCATTAGATACCAAAAACAATATGTACAGTGAGCAGTTCTGCCGATGTCATACTGAAATTATGCTTAAGTGTACCTGTCCAAAATACAGAACCAGGCAGTGGCAGTAGAAGAAAAATGAACCATATGATGTAGATCTGCTTGTGTTGAATATGAGGACTCTACACACATTTGTATATATTGGAAACATAGCGCATTCCAGGTTAAAGCAGCTTAGGTAACCTGCCCAATTATCACAGACACAATCCAACCAAGGCATGGTACAGTCTGTGGCAAAGCATGTGAACATCATTTTGTTTTATCTTCCTTCTCATGATGATTGTGAATATATATATATATATATAAGATCACATATTTATGTGTTTTTGTGTGAGCAGTTACTGACATATCTTTACATTTCACATGTTCTGCCATTCATAGTTATAGTGTGTCCACAAAGATTTTACTACATGTTTTCAAATCATAATGTTGAAAGTATGTCTTCATTCAAGACATTGACAACATAGACAATAAGACCCCTAGGCACTGAGATGGCTTATATGTTTGATATCCTTCAGCATGATGACTGAAAAAATTGCTGCCTTGTATGACTTCAGATTTTGTTAAATGAATGCATTTACTGGCAGTGACAGGTTGATACATTGAAGCTAATTTTTAGAAATATTCTATGCTTTTCTCAAAAGATGCCATCAAAAACTTTCACAGATCATGGTGCAAGTTCTGAAAAATTGAAGTATATATCCAAGTTTGTACATACAGTAAGCATGGACTGCTCATGTTGCAGTTGTCTGGGTTTGACACCATGTAATCTGATAAGACCACAGTATTCATTTTAACAGAGTGAAAGCCACCCTTTTCATTCCCAAATCTTCTGTCAAAATTCGCTGAACTGAGCTCCAAGTCACTCCCAACAGCTCCACAATTTCTTCAATGGTCCGCTGTCGATCTTCCTTGATGATTTCACGAATTTTTTCAACATTTTCATGTGTTTGGGCCATTGCAAAAACGACGATCACACAAAACAGTTGTCACTATAAACTCTGCCGAAACTAGTCCTTACCTTCTGAAGCAACGGTAGTCGGCTTATCGACTCAGGAATGTTAGCTCTATGTGCTCATAGCAGCAAAACGCGGTACTACAAAAGCTCTGGCCACAAAAAATTAGCAGTTGTCTGGGTTTGTGACACCATGTAATCTGATAAGACCACAGTATTCATTTTAACAGAGTGAAAACTTCAACACTTAGCACAGACTGTAATTTTTGGAATAAAAAAATGTGTATTAGTCCCTTCACCCTTGGCCATTTGACCATTGTTCACGTACCAGGCAGCAAATGTGTCAAGGTCGGTGTGGACAATCTATGAGTACTGAAACTGATAGACGTACCAAAGCCTTACTCTTTAGAAAAAAGTTAATGTGCTAGCATTTATTAGTTCTTACTGTTTGTTTAGATTTGAGAAGTGTATCCTGATTAAAATATATGTTGAGACTTAGTTATCATTCCAGTGTATAGTGGAAGATATGTATACAGGGTGTCCCAGGAGGAATGTGCCAAACTTCGGGAGGGTGTTCCTTATGTTAAAGTATGCCGATATAACCCAAAACACCTATGTCCAAAGTTGAACGGTTACGGAGATAATGGCCCAAGAAAAGTGTGGTCTTCTGGCAGGTCCAAGCACTGTACCTCGCTGTACCTCTCAGCTGAGAGCCCTTATCTATGTTTGTCCTTGAGTGCGATGATACTCCCTAGCCGTGCTTATGTAGTTGGCTCATACCAGAACGCGCAGTCAGCACGTTACGTCATCGCTCGCCAGTCATGTGTTATGTATACTGCTTGGAAACCTAAGGACAATTATGACATGGCGAGCGAGTATTTTGTACTTCAATTTTATGGCTTTCCGTCACTCACAAGTTGGTTTGATGTTACGTACATTATTAACATTACAGAATCCACATATTCCTGCCAGTTTTAATATGTATTTTGTAATCAACAAGTGTGTAACCCCGGTCAAAGTTTGACACTTCTCGGGCCATTATCTCCGTAACCGTTCAACTTTGGACATAGGTGTTTTGGGTTATATCGGCATACTTTAACATAAGGAACACCCTCCCGAAGTTTGGCACATTCCTCCTGGGACACCCTGTATTTATGTACATGCAAGCAGTAAGCTGTGGCCAAACTTACTGTTATCAGTTTGGCATGTTGTTTTGTGTTATGTGAAACTGATGGGGACCCTACTTTTAAATCTTAATTTCTAGTCAGGTGCAATCATATGCAGGTAACAGAATAATAATAATAATTCCTAACACTAATTTAGAAAGAGATGAATGTTGTAGCACAGTACACATGTGAGGGCTCTTTTCTGTCTCTTGGTTACCAAAGATGTTCTGTCATATGGAAACATACTCTAAAAGTAAGACTTTTTTTTTTAAAGATTTGTCAGTGATTTACAAAAGAAAGAGTTATGTAATAGTAGTAATAAATGTCATCAGAGAATGATGTGCTTCTCAGTCTGTCTGCTTCTGCTCCCTTTGGTCTTGTCACTTCATCACGCAAGATGCCAGGAAGTGCGGCTAGATCCCACGAGGTCAAACTTCTGCTCAATTCACGCAGGTAAGCCGTTTATAGTTTCCCTTTATGAACACCAGTGTGTCAGTGGTCAGAACTGATTGAACCACCAGGTAGAGATATTGAATTGAAGCATCATATTGTGTGTCTCAATAGGTGTGAAGGTTATGTCAACCCAACCAGGAGCTGACACCCCTGCCACAGCTGTGCAGGTGATCAGCGCATGCCTACCTCCAGACCATGTCAAGGTAGTAAGTCGAGGAGGAGGTCTCATGTATGTATGTAATTTAAATGCATATATACAAGCTTCCACTGGCAGATGCTCGTAGAGAGCTAGATAAGAAATGAGTATAGTTTAAAACAAAATTATACTACTAATAGTCTCCACTGTTGGAGTGATTTCTGCATCATGTTTTATTTATACATAATTATATACATGCAGCTTTTTACACTGTGTTAATTTGACTTAATTTATATAGCATTTAATTACTGTATGCAATGTTTTAATAGGAGGTATGCGGTAGAGTAGTTGGTTGAGGGGCTATGCTACATGCCGGAAGGTTGCGGGTTCCCGATGAGGTCATTAGATTTTTTTTTAATTGACCTAATCCTTCCAGCTGCATTATGGCACTTGACTCAGCCTCTAGCAGAAATGAGTACCAGGAATTAATTAAATAATTTTCCTGGGGAGTAAAACGCGGCAAGCGTGTAAGACTGACAACCTTAACGCAATCTTTGAGCCGATTGTCTAGTTAATGTGGGACCCTCAACGCCTCACAACCCTATGGGCCTTCACGGCCTGGTACATGAATAGCTTTACTTTTACTTACTATGTAATGTTTTAATAAAATAAATACTGACAGGCCATAACAGGTCCAAAAAGCAAAATTATGTATTTGACATATAGTTATTTTGCTTATTTTGAGGGCCTACAGATGACATTGTAGGGTTGAAACCTGATGCCTGTTTTGCAAATTATGCATTTTGTGACTGTATGTTTCATTTTATTGCAGACAGGCAGGGATTTTTTTCTTCTCTTTGCCACTCTGTCCACGTTAGCTCTCGTGCCCACTCATGCACATATCCAATGGATGCTGGGAGCTCTTTTGACAGGAGTAAAGTGGCAAGGGAATTTCCAACCAGAGCCAAGATGAAGCTCTACCCCTGCTCCTTTGCATGTCTTCATGACAAGTCTCATTAATATTACCACTTCTTTTTGTAAACTATTCTTATACTCATATGTGTAGAAAGACACTGGAATTCAAAATTTTCCATTGCACATAATTGGGAAACAATGGGCTATGCTACTTGCACCTAAAGTCGCTAAGTATGAAATGAGAATGCTGTGCATCTCTACTATGGGGAAGGAACATGATAGTATCAAATTGGGAAAAGGAAATCCTACAAAAAGATATAACTTTAATACTACATGCAGAAAACCCTGAAATTTTGTAATGCTGCTAGATCTTGTTTGTTGAAATATGAAGCTAGTGTTTTGTATTAATGCTTTAATGTCAAGAAAGAAACCTGTGGAGCTTGTTTGACATTGCCAGCTAAATTACAGAAACATCTGCTGTCAGCATCAGACATTAGGAACTAAACTAAAGTATATTACTTGTGTTATATCGATAATGGAAGTATAGACGTAATAATTGTCATTTTTTAAATTGAGCATGGAAAGCATTAATTACACTCAGTAATCAGAGTTACCCAGCATCAGATGAGAGATGTTTTCTCTTCAGTATACTTTACAGAAACAAACATTTCTTACATATGTTTCCTTATTAAAAGTATATGTTTTTTGTAGTATTTATTGTGAAATAAGGTTTGTAATATATAACAATCTTTGTTCCTTAAATAATGAACATAGTGAATTAGGGGAAAATGTGCATTTCTTTCCTGTTACTTTATAACTTACACAATTTGGCATAACATTGGTAAACAAATCAAGAAACAAACAACCTTCTTTACATAATTTATATGTACACATATGTTAAAGAGGTAGTGTAAACCAGGAGTGCATTGTAAGAATTGTAATTACATTTTCTCATGTTCCATTGTCAGGTGCAAATTTTTCATTAGTCCACTCTCCAGAATTGAAGAGGGATTTATAAAATTCTTCACTGTATATGTATGTTTGTGTGTAACTATTTATTAGGTCAAACTTGCTTCCAGTAAAATTTTAAACTTAATTTGAATTTCTGGGTACTGGTTCATCTAAATGGGTGCAAACCAGCCCTAACTTACTCCTGAGAGCAACCATGCAAATTATTTAAATTTAACACTTCCTGTTTCATATCCTGGTCACAGAAGTAGCTCCTGTAAATCTTGTTAAATTTTCACACTTTGCATAAATAAACCCATATTGAAAGGTCCTGTCTGCTTAACCTCCATATATTTTGCAGGCTTCTGTAATATTTATTCCTCTGAAGTCAACACTTAAGATTTTCTTGAGGAAGTTAATTTCAGTTCCGCCATATTGGTTAATATACTGTCTCTATGTGCCACCCAAACATAAAGTTTCCCAAAAATGGCTCTTTTTACTAGAGAATGAAATAATATATAGATATCACTAACATCTGCAGTAATTTAAATATTATTTTTATGGTGAATGTTTAATGAAGTTCAAAGAGAAATATGTAGTTTAACTGTGTGTTCTGATCAGCTGTGAAATGTGATACCTGTGGTATGATCAGCTATGCAATGTGAAGTTTAATCGGTTGAATGGTTAACTATGTAATGTAAAGTGTGATCCTTGGTATGATGAACTTTGCAACAATCGATTGTTATCTGCAATGAACTAATAGGAGGTCTGAAAAGGTCAGCAGAATCACAAAGATAACATTTGGAAATATAACTGCATTCCTTCCTATTCCTGGTATAAAACAGTCTGATAGCACTATCTAGTCTTGATACTAAAAAGACTGGGGTTACAATACCCACAGAGAGAAAGATACCAGGCTGACAATTCTTGCACAGTCTGCAACACAAGGTTTGGCTGTGAGATGGATTAAACTGTCTTCAGGAGAATATCCAATCAGAATCATTACTTAAAAAAAACGGAATAATGGCCTTAAAGTCCTATACAGTGGTCTCAGGTACCTCTCAGGACGTACTGCAAGGTCTGCCAATGTATCTGGGTTGGGGTACGTCTGAGGATTTCCCAGTAATCCTCCTGTTCCTCCGCCCAGGAGAGATCCCAGTAAACCTCCCCCTCCAAAGTGGCTCCCTATAAGCCCACCGCCATCACCCCCACTCCCAAGAAGACTGTGACAGCCGAGGGCATCTGATGACGTGTAGTCTGACGAAACTGGGTAGGGCGAGCCCTGTATCTGCTGCACTTGAAGAAACAGAAGGGTTCGCACTTCAGGGTCCTGGTCCGTACGTCCCATTCCAAGCAGGTTGCAGAGTTTCCTCAGCTTCTTCTTCTTGAGCTTCTGCAACGTGCGGGAATCGACATCACTCTCGTCAGTGTCTGTACCTGCGTGTCCTATCAGAACCTGATTTATCAGCAACAGCAGAACAATGAAGACCTGTAGAAACCAGAGAAACAGCGTTAGCTGTATCAGTATTTAATTAACGGCGCTCCACAGAGGCCTCTGAAGTAGACGGAATTGCCTGGAATGACCAAGGTGAAATCCTGTATTCTGCACGTTAAAGCACCGCAAAATGGCAGAAGGATAAACATTTCATTACACACTACTCACGAACATTGAAACATGTAATCGAGAACCCTTCAGTTCCATGTCACCGAACACCGCAGCGCTGCCGTAGTTATGAGTTCGGGAGATCCTGGCTTCGATTCTCATCCAGGAGGTTGGCCATTCTGACTTTGGCTTTTCGTGCTACTCCTCAATCTCTATAGACGAATTCTCAGATATTAGAGACTCTCTTCTTTGCAAATTCTCCCATATAGGGCGTCATTAAGTAAACTGAAATCCTTCTTCAGCCCAGCTGTTTGACAGCTTCTGATTATTAAGCTTATAACAACTCCGAAAGTTAATGTTGACAAATGGGACGTGAAGATTAGCATAAAGTGCACATAAGGATTTAAGCAAAGGTCATGTTCAGAGTATGCCACAGCGACAGTCACCAGAAGAAACCGAGGTAGACCAGAAACATCATCTGTCGGAACAGCCACCAACTCAGCTGAGATTGGAACAGAATATTCCACGGTCGTTGCCTAGCAACGGGTCCATATGCCACAATATTTCATTGTCATGTTCAGAGTATACCACAACGACAGTCACCAGAAGAAACCGAGGTAGACCAGAAACATCATCTGTCGGAACAGCCACCAACTCAGCTGAGATTCGAACAGAATATTCCCCGGTCGTTGCCTAGCAACGGGTCCGTATGCCACAATATTTCACACAGTATTCAAGCAATATGAACTGTGACTTTTGCAGACCATACTTTCATCGCACATAGCAACGTTTCTTCCATTTTATGAAAGTAATTGCAATTAAATTGATCAGTAGAGTTGAAATAAGATCAGCAGGGAACCGTGGTGGTATTTAAATAGAGCCGCAAACGGTTAAGAGATAATAGTGAATTAATGAGCACAGTGTCTTACCGAAGTCGTCATGACGTCTTGTTTACGACGAGCCCGCTGCCGCACTGGTACATGGGTGCTCATTTTGGGAACGGAGTGAATGTAGATGCGGAAGTTTGGAGTCTGCTTTTTCTTTCTCTTTTATTCTCCTTTCTGGTTGTGTGTTGGGGTCTGCACGCGTGGGCTAGGATTGTGTAACTGCGTACAGTTCCTTGATTAACATTTCAGCTGAGTTGAAGTCTCCCGTGGGCGGAATGCGCCGACCAGTTGCCAGTGTGCAGACTTATACTTCAATCATTTACGTTGCCTCTGTATTTCCCGAGAGAGGCCCGGCTAGAAATGTACTGACTGTGTACTTCTCGAAACAGTCTTCTTCGATGTACTTTATCTATACGCTTTATAATAAATTAAGTTCCTATTTCTCGAGACATTACCAGTTCCTATAGAAGTGTAGATCAATGCATTCACCTAGACCCTGTCACTAGAAATTCTGTGTCATTGTGTCACTCGAGAAGATTCCAGCAAGAACACGTGTCCTGCACAAGTATATTCTTGAGACACTTCATGTATAAATACGATATCCGTATTTGCTACAGACCGTTTGCTTTCTGAATGACTTTCAAGCAGTAAACTAAATGTAATCAGTAAAAATGTAAAGTTATCCATGTGCTTAACTAATTAAGAACTACGCCATGAAGGCTTATGGGGGAATGGATGTATAGGTCCACGTTTTCTTGACATTGGCACTAGTTGGAGGTGATTGGTCAGCTTTACCCCCGGCGAAAGAGTCCCCGGTTCCCGTTGGATAGGAGGCTGGGTGGGCCCAGAACCGGTTTGGACAACGTGGAGAAAACAAAATTCTTGCCCCTACCGGGACTTGAAATGCGACCCTTCGGTCGTCCAGCGAGTACCAAGTCGTTGTACCGACTACGCTATCCCGGTTCCCAAATCAGTATACAAAGTAAAACGATATTATGTTTAAGTTATTAAGTTTATTCATCTCATAAATCCAAATGTTTCCTTAACAATTTTAAAACGCAGGTCCTTCTCTTAGCTGAGAAGAGGAATTGCACGTCCATGTGAGACTGGTTAACAATTTTGTGAGATATGACGTTCTGAGGGGAGTGATCATGAATTTTGATGTTTCAGTTAGCAGTTCGGTACATTTTAATTAGGACGTGCAAAGACGAAACATCGCTGTGAAACCTTAGTATTTCTTACAATTAAATATTAATAGCTTTCTTATAATTTCGCCCTGCTTATAATTTACTTTCTATAGTACTAGCATTAGAACACTTGTCCTGCATTCTCTCAGGATAAGAACCACTTCCCAAAGCTCCCGAACCCATTGGCTGCTCGTAATAAAAAATCGAGGCTGGAAATTGAAATGTTGTATCCGGACAAGATGGCAGTCCGTGAGAAATAATACACAAAGGAAATAAACTGCAGATATGTGCGGTGTTCTTACGGTCAGCCAGGTGCTACCCTCTTGTACTGCTGAATTCATTTTGTATAATTTGTATTCACAGCAATTAATATGAAGGCTAGTTTTCTGTGATGTGACGCCAAGTAGTTTGCTGGAAAGGTTTCGGAGCAACCTCCTGTCTCCATCTTCAGTTTAGCAGCACCTTCTCCCAAAAAGAAAATATTGGCACCATTTCATCAGACAATCCGTCGCAATATCCCAGAAGACTTTGTATTCATTTGGTTTACGGTCTTATAGTGAAGCTGTGAGTTCACAAAGTTCCAAAGTGAAACCTTAATAAAGTAAAAGTAAAGCTATCCCTGTAACAGGCTATGAAGGCCCATAGGGTTGTGAGACGTCGAGGCTCCCACATTATCTAGACAATCGGCTTAAAGATGGCGGTAAGGTTGTCAGCCTTACGCGCCGGCCGCGCTTTACTCCCCAGGAAAATTATTTAATTAATTCCTGGTACTCATTTCTGTTAAAGGCTGAGTAAACCCCAGGTCCTAGTGCGGCTGGAAGGATTAGGTGAACTGAAAAAAATCCAATGACCTCATCGAAACCTTCTTAATACTTAACAAAATTCGGATACAAACCCGCGATTCCTTGGATTCCACCAGCTAATATCGTAAGCAAACCAGCTCGGTTCTTTTTGTTCCTATTTGCTGTACAGGTTGCCTCTATTTTCAGTGTCCTTTTATGTATAAAGTTGGAACTTATGAATCCCTCGAGGAACAATTGTAGGGTTGCGATGCATTTTTTTAGCACGCCAAATTAATATTTTAAATTTACGAACTATATAAATTTTGTGGTGATCTGATCGCCAGAAGATTTTCTAATCGGTTCGTATGTACGCATTTTGACTACATTATTGCTACTACTCTGTAAGAAGTGACAAGTGTCCATATATCTGTCCGTCCGTCCCACACGCGTATTTCATTCTAAATTGTGGAAGTTTTGAATATGGAAAAGAGTTACAATTTTGGTTAAAGACGGAAAACGACAATAGTAAAAATTTTGTCTTACAAAGGTCCTAAAGTGAACGCTGAAACTTCATTGCTACGAGGACTGTATTGACCTGACGAAGGTTATTCTGAGGAAATGCGAATTTGCGTAAAGACAGAAGTTGCCTCACAAAGTGCTTTAATTGCCCGGCCTTCACACTGCTTAACGAAGAGTGACTGTCACGTGGGGTCACAGATGAGAAAACGGAAAACACACAAATATTAAAACATGGACAAGACAAATATAAGAACAGAAATAGCGGATCGAAATATAAAAGGAAAGAGAAAGATAGGAAATAAGGAAGAAAATATAGAAATAAATAGGCCTATTTAAAAAAGAAAAAGACATTTTCACTATCTTAACTACGAGTAATAGTTAAGTACAAAGGATTTTACCACATATAATGTTCACTTTTTGGTTAGGATGTCTACATACGAATACGCGTACATGTTTCGTACAAGATTTCGGGGGGCTAGTTGTAAATCAAGGAAGTATGCGCTTTGCCAGTTTGGTCTTTGTGTTCTCCGAAGAGATTTCGGCGAAGGGCAAGGACATCGGTTTATTTACAATTATTCTTAGGCTATTTAATGAATCTGAACTGAACTATCATTGAGAGAATAAATAACTCTTCTAATAAACGGATGTGAAACTTCCAAGAAACTTCCATGTTCTTCGGTGACGTAAGTTGATCCTACTGGATAAACTGGATAAACGCAGAAACAAAGTATTGAACATGAGTCAGGGTAAATGGTGGAAACAAGGAAATGAGTAAGAGAAATCATGTAAACTTTGATTCTCCTGCACCCTCTCCTCACATGCATGCACCCAAGGTTCAATTTTATCTGTTGTACTGAACCGTAACCTACGTGGCATAGCCGTGTAGCGATGTCTTAACATTCGTTTCTAAAGGGTTCTGACGATGGTGTATAACACAAAGAATTACTGGGCGTTTGGACTTTTTCCATCATCCGGTATTCTAGAGAATAGAAAACACGACGTTTCGGATACTGGATCTTCTCATTAACAAATTCCCAACTGTCTGACTAATGAAGATCTGGTCATAAACCCAGATTGGTGCTTTATTCCAAGACAGACTGGCCAACTGACCGTCGGTCGTAACATAAGCCTCAGACTCAACTTAGTAACTTCATAATCAGGATTTGAAGGGAAGACTTTATGTGTGATACGTGAAGTGGGGGCACTATGCTACAAGCCGGAAGGTCGCGGGTTCAAGTCCCGATGAGTTCATTGGATTTTTTCAATTGACCTAATCCTTCCAGCCGCACTATGGCCCTGGCGTCGACTCAGCCTGTAACAGAAATGAGTACCAGGAATATTCTTGGGGGTAAAGGGTGGCCGGCGCGTAGGGCTGACAACCTTACCGCCATCTCTGAGCCGATTGTCTGTAAAATGTGGGACCCTCAACAACTCACAAACCTATGGGCCTCCACGGCCTGATACAGGGATACCTTTAATTTACTTTTTTATCTGAAGTGTGTAATTCAGTGAGACTGTTACAGATCATGTGTTAAAATCCGTTGCAAGGAAACGGCTAGTGGAGACTAATAGACTGAGGACACTAGTCTCTGTGTCAGTGTTCTGTAAAATGTAGTCAAGAGTCGTGAGGGTATAAGAGGCCAATAAATCGAGTCGCTAACCGAAACCCCGTCTATAGTCACTCACACACCTGACAACACTTTCCCTTATTTAGGTCTATGGTCTTTTATCACACACTTCTAGCCCTGTCATCACCAGCGTTTCTATTCCATTTAATGTTTTTTGGTTAGCCTGATCAGTCCTTAGGTTCATTAAAATTGCTTTTATAAATTAGAGTCATATATCGTCGAAGGTACGATGAGATGCTTATGACTGGCAATAAGAAATTCGAGTTAGATAATAGCGACTGTTTTGAAGTCTGTGAGGATACCGGCAACTCGACGGGTACCTCTAGAGTACCTTCCTATCGAATGGGTACCGGGGGCCCTTTGCCCGGGGATAAAGCTGCAAGGGGGAAGCAAACCATTCACTTCCAGCTGGTGCCAATGATAAGAATACGTGGGGCTAAACCTCCACTGCCTCATACGCCTTCGTGTGATCCTTAATTAATTAAACAGAGATCAATTTGCCCTATCTCCAAAATATGCGTAGGTAGCTATCGATTACGAACATATCTGACGTCTTTGTCACTTTTATCGTACCATCACAGATATTTCAGGAGAGGTGTGGACACTGATCTTCCTCCACTCCCCCCCTCCTACGCAGTAAATATAAGAGTGGTTCAAGAACATCGCGAATCTAGCTTCGTGTTCCAGACGGTGTGACCGGTTCAAACGTCCTGTTGTTGACAAGCCGTCTTGGGATTTTTAGTCTCGCCAAACGATGTCATGGACTATCAAATAGGCCACGACATTTTCCGTCCACATCCTCCTGCCCAGTTAATCATACACACCATCCTCTCATTCGCCGTTATAATGCGTTAAGAAGTAAATCAATTAGTTGAATTGACCGATTCTTAGAATTTTTGGTAAATTAGTTTCAGTTGTTTAGGCTGTATTTCATCGAGCGAGATGTGAACACTCACGAGCATTTAGCAGATAAAAGTTTAGTAAAATGCTCACATGGACTACATGAAGATACTTTCGATATTCGCCTGGCAAGAATACGAGAAACCTGTTCGAGATTCGAATCAGAAACCCCCTGAATACAGATCCAGAATATCACCGCTGCACCGACCCGATCGATGCCCGGAAGGTTCATCTACGGGTACGCGATGACCTGCAAGCACCAGGTTGGAGATCACTGACCTGTGTTTTGTCATGTTGTCTCCCCACGCTTCAGTGATTAAGGGGATGCCCCTCCCGCCATTCTTATAACTTGAAGTGGGTCAGTACGAGGGCGGACGAACGAAACTGAAAGTGTTCTGTTTATTTTCCGACACCTACTTACAATTTCCAGCGTAGTGACTTTTGGTATTCCATCCGTTTATGACCGTCAGCCTACTGACGAGGTTATGTAACCTCGAATGAATTGCTGGACTGATGTTTTCTTCTGTGTCCTCAGATATGCTGGGATTGTACGTAAACAAGAGTATTTCCTCAAGTATCTCAACTCATAATTCATAATCATCCTTCCAGTCAATGCAACTTAACGTTCGCATTTTAGGAAGTAAAATGAAATAAAACGCTATGTGAGATTTAGGTTTTCACGGCGGTGAAGATAGTCTGGATTGTGATTCATTAGCCTGTTAGGTGGTTGCCGGCGTAGGAACCTGCTGCGTCTGTCTTTTTCCACTTTCACAGAAGCTGAGCAAAGTAAAGCTATCCCTGAAACAGGCCGTGAAGTCCCATAGGGTTGTGAGACGTTAAGGGTCCCACACTATCTAGAAAATCGGCTCAAAGATGGCGGTAAGGTTGTCAGCCTTACGCGCCGGCCGCGCTTTACTCCCCAGGAAATTTATTTAATTAATTCCTGTTAGAGGCTGAGTAAACCCCAGGGCCTAGTGCGGCCGGAAGGATTAGGTCAATTGAAAAAAATCCAATGACCTCATCGGGACTTGAACCCGCGACCTTCCGGCTTGTAGCATAGTGCCTTAACCACTACGCTACCGCCTACCCCTTCTGTGTTTGTCTACAGGTAGAGGCCTTGCGACGAGCTGATCACCCGCCCAAGGAGTCCTACCGAATGTGTAAGATCTAGAAAAACCGAAGTGAACGGAGAAGTCCATGGAGGTAGGCCTAGGCCCACTGGGGCTGTAGTGCCAAGGAAAAAAAAAACTAAAATTATAATATTCAATGCGAAAGTTCATCTTCGAAATATATCCCTCATGCGAAATATATTTTGAGATATCCTCGTTTATTTTACTGTGTATTTGTTCTCATTTGTGTACTATGCCAGGGCTAGGTACGAGTAGAAAGTAAAGTGTTTGTTAGGAACCAAGATTCTCCAGGTATTCCTCGTGGCACCTGAAAGTAGCGTACCTTTTATAAACTTCATTACGAGACACCATTCTGAGGGGTGTAATTTGTTTCAGCAAGGTAGAGCTTTTCGAACTCGGAAGCCGGGATCGTGGGTTCGAATCCCACTCAGAGCATGGATGTTTGTGTGCGTTTTTCTGTGTTTGTCTACAGGTAGAGGCCTTGCGACGAGCTGGTCACCCGCCCAAGGAGTCCTACCGTATGTGTAAGATCTAGTAAACCGAAGTGAAACGGAGAGTTTCATGGAGGTAGGCCTAGGCCCAAATGAGGGCTGTAGCGCCAATGAAAAAAAGAAAAAGGAAGAGCTTTTCGAACACACCTAATGAAATCTAGGTTTTGATAATTGCGAAACCAAATCATTGAATAGCGACAGTGAAATACTAAGCAACTGTTATCGCATTTTCTCTTGGATTTTTTGTTCGCAAGTACCAGTTCTGACAATAAAGAAAGAGAACTAGCCACCGTGTGCTTGAGCAGTGGACAGAAACCTCAGTATGGTTTGATGGCATAGGCATATCAGCATTTCACAGCTGTGTTGTTGTTGATGTATGACAGTCTCTTTCTTCCTGTCTGTGTGTGTTTTGGTGTCTTGTATCACGACAATGCGCCTGCTCACACGACACTGTCTGTGAGGGAGTTTTAGCTAGCAAACAAATAACTGTGCTTGAACGCCCTCCCTTTTCACCGGATCTAGCCCTCGGTGACTTTCTTCTGTTCCCGAAGATAAAGGGAATATTGAAAAGAAGACATTTTGATGACATTGATGACATCAGGAGTAATACGACGGCAGCTCTGAAGGCCGTTCCACAAAACGAATTTCAAAATTATTTTGAAGGGTGGACTGGCATCTGTGCATAGCTTCCCAATGGGAGTACTTTGAAGGCGAACACATTGTTATTCACAAATATATCGCGATGTATTCGCGAATTTTGTCAGACCACGTATGTTTCGTAAAAAGTATACATTACAGTTATAATACAGTTTTATTTCAGCTTAAACCTTTAGAATTCTAAATATTCCGAAAGAACGTAAAGGCGGTGATCACTGTTTAATATCAATATACATTTCATAATTTGTTCCTGTAACTGTGAAAATGCAGGAAATTAACGAACCGCCAGATTTTTATAGCCGAAATCCTGAACGTTGCTCTTTATTAATATATAAAAACTAAAATTCTATAAAGCGTAACGATTTTTTTATAAATAAAATATTTTCAAAACATGTAAGACAGCGAAAGATTTTACTCATTTGTTAAAAATTCTTTACACGTAATTGAATTTTAGTTTATATTAATTCACCAGATAATTCTGATCTCGGTAACTCACCTTGAGCGGCGCTGTTACATCCAGGATGTGAACTGGGAACTGCAGGTTGCTCGTGCCACATGTTGCGATTAAATTTCCAGATTTAAAGACGAGTTTAACGTATCTTTATTTCGTTCAACACCTGTGGATCACTTGTTCCTAAAATTGGTTAGTACACGCTAAGAATACATTTTGTCTTTCTTAAATTATTTTAATTTTTATTATAAAACGTAATATTACATAAAACACGTTTGAAGTTATTTACATGGAATCACTGCAAAATGGCGAGTTTTAATTGTCCTGTGTGATAACCATTACCTGATACAAGAGATCTGCAGTTCTCATGGCGATGTTGAACGAAACATCCTAAAATTAGAAAGTTAATGGTTAAACCAGAAATGTAACAAAGTACAATTTTGTATGACAGTAGATTTTCCTCGCTTGTTTATATTTTTGTTTTAATTATTTACTTTCGTGTTTGAAGGGTTTGCGTTCATGTCATACATTAATTTGTCGTATAAAATAGTTTTTATTCTTGAAGAAAGCAGTCTTCTGGGATTTGGCACCGTGTATATGTGGTGTTAACCGACGTTTCGGAGGAACGTATCGTCTCCATCTTCAGGCTAGAAGAAAAATATAAGAAATCTGCAAGCGAAGAGACCGTGAGAACCGGTAAAAGCAGAGTGCGATCTCTTCGCTTGCAGATTTCTTATATTTTTTCTTCTACCCTGAAGATGGAGGCGATACGTTCCTCCGAAACGTCGGTTAACACCACATATACACGGTGCCAAATCCCAGAAGACTGCTTTCTTCATAGTCACCGCCGTGAAAGCCTCAAATCTTACAAGAAATATTATGTATCACTAAAACCGTTAAATTGTATCTTCTATACAGACGGAATTTAATTGTATAAAAGTGATTGAACTTACAAGTTAAAGCTAAATTAATTTATTGGGTTAAGATTTAAGTAGTGAGTTTTGGTTTCATGTTAATAACCAATTTAAAATACGTATATCCAGGGAATATTATTTCCCTAAAATTTGGAACTCCTTGTGATGGGCCACGCCAGATCTAGATTGGTGCAACTGTCTGTCTTATATGTAAGGCATATGATCATCAGTTACTTCAGTTTCTGGCAAAATAACGCAGCTATGGTTCTGCACCATGTTTCCCTAAATAACAGGTGCTACGCTTATTTTCAGAATTTCTATAATTTATTTACCCCCCTTCCCCCATAATATCATGAAATACACATTTGCGGGAAAATCTGTAAAATCACCACCACCCACTCTTATAACCATAATCTGACCCACGGTAGCCTCCATAGCTTCCAAGACTATATCCACCTTCATAGGGGCGATAACCCCCAGTACCTTGGCTATAATAACTGCCTTGACGATAACCGCCATAACCCCCATCATATGGCCGATATCCCCCATAACCACCCTGACTGTAATAATCACTTGGTCTGTATCTATACCCATAACCGCCATAGCTGTAGCCATTCCCATAGCCGGAACCGGGTCTCGAACTATAGTCATAGCCATAGCTTGGTCTCGAGCCCCCATAGCTGTAGGAAGGTCTGTATCCGCCATATCCTCCGCTCACATAATTCGGTCTAGAGTCCCAGCCTCCCCCTGCATAGTTCCAGCCACTTCCGTATCCGCCATAGCCGCTTCCGGATCCGCCATAGCCACTTCCGTATCCGCCATAGCCACTTCCGTATCCGCCATAGCCGCTTCCGTATCCGCCATAGCCGCTTCCGGATCCGCCATAGCCGCTACCATAGCCACCATAGCCGCTTCCGTATCCGCCATAGCCACTTCCGGATCCGCCATAGTTCGTGCTGGCCTCTGTAGCTACGGCGATGAAGATCACTACTGCAAACGGGACCTGGAATGTAACAGCATGTCAGAATGTGAGGAGCACAAGCACTGAAAGTGTTCCAAATGCATCCTTCGGTATATTGCGTAACTTGTTGGCCTAGATGTCTATTTAATGCAGACACAATTGTACTATTACAGTCAGCTGCTGCATAAAGTCACGAAATATTCTTATTCGTATTTCGTTAAATATAATCAATGTTGGAAAATATTTCGAATATAAATAGTGGATCTTAATCAACTCTGTGTTTCATGTTATGTAAAAAGTGTATTTTGCGTAATGGGCCGCTTTCAAGAAAACCGACGGAGTCCGAGTTGTACTTCATGATAAGAGAGATTACTTTGACAATAAGTTTCGAAACGAAATTCAGCGGATAAAAATTTCATTGCATACACCAGTACCAACATTTTTCGGAATCTGTCAGCTGTTTTGTAAAAGAAGCACAGGGAATTTCGAATCGACACGACCTCCTCTTCATCATGCTTTCCTCGTATGTCCTTTGTGCCAAGGACGAGGAAGAATGCCGTTTACATTGGTACAGGTATGCTGCCTTTCGTAATTAACTGTAATGCCTAGCGTTGAATGAGTTACTTGACGATGCTGTTTCAACTGCATAGGTTATGGGGCTGTCGCATGGAAGGTGATCATAATCGGTGAAAATATAAGAATTATCAGACTGCCGTGGCCTATTCGATGGTGCTGTACCGGCATTGGGACGTAGAAACAACAAATAATTAATTGTGGATAATCTGAAACCTGACAGAGAATCGAAACGGCTTTCTCAGGAACAGAAAATGAAAGACAAAAATGTGACATTGCTGGTGGCGTGTGAAATCAAGTGAAAATCTACGGATATATTGTGGGGTGAAGGGAGGAGGAGCTTCCGAATGACCTCTTGGTATGTTTTCATTCAGAAAAAAGTACCTAAGTGGGAACACAAGGTTCTTCATAACAAATGACGAGCCTGGACCGACGTTATTCAAACGGACAGCCGCACGCGTCCGGAAGTAGTTGCTATTGAGCAAGCGGTGACGTTTCGAATCTTGGACGACACTGGGGTGTTCTGAATAAAGATCCTCTTTATTTCTTCTCTTCTCCTAGGTAAATACCGGGAATAGTAGCCAGCTTAACTGACCCACCGCCGCTTCCTCTCCGCCTCTCTCAGGGGCGTTAAATAACTGATACAGCGACATTAACCTACTGTCCATTCAAATTTGCCGACGGTTATGGTGATGGGATAGTTCAGTCGGTACAGCGACTGGTTACGGGCTGGACGACTGAGGGGTCGGAGTTCGAGACCCAGTACGGTCAAGAATTTTCTCCTTTCCATGTCGTCCAGGCCGACAATGGAGCCCACCCAACTTCCTACCCAAGGGGTACTGGCGGTTCTTTCTCCGGGAGTAAAGCGACTGGGGCGTGAAGCTGACCACTCACCTCCAGCTAGTGCCAAGGTCAAGAAAATATGGATCTATACATCCACTCCCCCATGCGTCATGTAGTGCTTAATTAGTTAAGCACAGGGACCCTTTACCCTACCTTACCTTTAAAGAACACCAAAGTTATGCAACCTTCTCTACTTAAGGGGCACAACTGTGCGGAGCAGGGCCTTCTTGAGATGCTGATGTCTCTGAACTTGTGTGGAGCCAGTGGGTTCATTGCCATGCCCACAAGAGACCCCACTAGACCCTGTTCCAAATCTTTCGACTCCAATCTAATTAAGCAGGTCCCACACAACTTAAAGGTGTATGGTTAATGGAGTCTTAGTTCCATCAATTCTTAAACTCGATAATATTTGGAGGTGGGTGATCAGCTTCACGATACAGCCACTTCCCTGTTTCCACAGGAAAGAATTCTGCCCCTGCCGGGAACTGAACCCCAGTCATCATTATACTGACCGAGCTATTCCCCTTCATCTCATTCTTCGGGTCTATTTTAATATTATCTTCCCACGTACGCCTCCATCTCCAGAATGGTCTCTTACTTCTAGTCTTTCCGGTCGAAACACTACCAGTTTCTCACCTCCTCGTGTGCGCTACATGTCTCTACTATCACCCCTCCTTGCTGTAGACAGCCTAGTAATATTTGGTGATTATAACATATCGTGGCCGATCACAGTGGCCACGTGCGGTCTAAGGCATGGGCTGTCTTCACACGCTCGAACTCTGGGATCGTGGGTTTGAATCCCACTTGAGACACGGATGTCTGTGTCAGCTTATCTTTTGTTTAGGTAGCAGTCTTAGGACGGGCTAATCCCTTGTCCAAGGAGTCCTACCAGCCGTGTATAGGATCAAGAAACTGAAAAAGTAGCCAATGCCCAACAAAGGGCTGTAGAGCCATAATAATAATAATAATTATAACACTGTTACTGCCGATCACAGTGGCCGCGCGTTCTAAGGTGTGAACTGTCTTAGCTCGCTCGAACACCGGGACTGTGGGTTCGAATCCCACTGAAGGTATAAATGTCTGTGCGCATATACTCTGTTTTTATATTGTTCCGTGTGTAGGTAGAGGCCTTGCGATGGGCTGATCCTCTGTCCAAGGAATCCTACCGTCTGTGGAAAAAATATTACGAAATTGCAGAAGAATCCAGGGCCCAACAAAGTACCGTTGAGCTATTGATGAAATGAATGAATGAAATAACATATCCTGAGATCCTTAGTATACAACTGTATCTATCGCTTTGTTACGGTTTCTCTCTGCGGTCATGTCCTCCGTCGTCCTCATTTTGTTATTCCACTACGGAGACAGACCAAGTTTCACACCCATATGAAAAAAAGGCAAAAGTACCTTCTTTGTATTTCAATCTTCAGACTTCTTACACTGTTACCTGCAAGATGACAGACTTTTAACTGAATAGCAGCCAGTATTCTCCACCTATCCTCGTAATTTTTTCTTGAATGCAATCTTTATATTTCTGCTCTTTTCCAACTTGCGCCATATTTTCCGATTAAGTAGAAATTTCCTCATCGCCATGTGAAGGTGCGTGATTAGCTTCACGCTTAGACCGCTTTCTCTACAACGGGAGTATTATATTTCTAATATCTGAAAGAAATATTTTTCTTAGCTTATCTGAGAAGTATGTTGAACAGGTCAACATTCCTCGCTGCGCCTCCTGAGAACCTGTTGAATACGCGTGATAAGCTTGCTTAAGAAATGTGTTACGAAACGCAAACCCACGTCTGATTTCAAGGATCGTGGATGAAACATTTTCGTTACACATTTCCTAATATTTCTCAGGGAAAGTTGGTAGCTTGTGACGTACACTTAATTTCGTTTCTAATTTAAATATCATCTCGAGTGTCTAGGTGAAGGAAGAATGATGTCCTACTTTCAATTTCTGAATCAGAATTTTTAATTGTTCTTTGAATGTTGTCATACTTTCTCGTATCTTAACCAATATTACTGCGACAATAAAATCATGGAGGATGAGCTGGACGGATCATGTAGAACGCATGGGCGACATGTATGCGATAGGTTTGCTTACAAACATGAAAGGAAAAGACAATTTGAAACACTTAGGCATAGATGAAAGGATAATGTTAAAGAGGATCTTAAAAAGCTATAGTTGTTTTGAATTCGATAAAGAATCTCCGGTTTCCATAAAAGGCAGCGAATTTTCTGACTAGCTGAGCGACGGTTAGCTTTTAGGAAGAGGCGTGTTTAATGGAGTTATTTTTTTTTTTGCGTTGTAAATCCACTGTTCACACTATCCAATTTCAACGGAAGTTTTCTAATATTTGATTAATAGTACTAGCAAGGCATATATTGGTCGCCTACATAACAATTTTCTTAAAAATAAAAATAAAACTAAACAAAATTAAATTATTGGTAGTGTCAGTATCATTCTTATTGTGCTTGTACTATACTACTACCCGTGCACATGCGCACGAGAGAGCGTTTTCGTATTTCGGCAGAGCTAGAAGTTGACTTGACCGCTTATTGAGAGGCTTCTGCGGACATTCACAACGAATATTGAGAAAAACATGCCTATCCGCTCCGCCATGTCTGTCCATCTGTCGGATATAACAGCTCGAGAACTGCTGGACAGACTGTCGTGAAATGTGAACGCGAAGAGGTTTACTAATATCCGTCGATATATTCTAAGTTTGATTAAATTCGGACGAGAAATAACGGACATTTTACACGAAGGCTAACATGCATTTCTGCGCGCATCCCCATTGTAACTGGCTGTTGTTTCTTTTTTTAGAAAAAAGATTCCATAAAAATTTATACGTATGAATGTTATGACCAACGCAATTTGTCAGTAAGTCTTACTGTTTTAGAGATAATTAAGCAGAATTGTTGCACTGTTTGTACATTTCTTAAATTTTTTTTTTCCTTGGCACTACAGCCCCAGTGGGCCTAGGCCTACCTCCATGAACTTCTCCGTTCACTTCGGTTTTTCTAGATCTTACACATTCGGTAGGACTCCTTGGGCGGGTGATCAGCTTGTCGCAAGGCCTCTACCTGTACACAAACACAGAAAAACGCACACACACAAACTAAACATCCATGCCCTGAGTGGGATTCGAACCCACGGTCCCGGTTTCCAAGCGAGCGAAGACAGTACATGCCTTAGACCGCTCGGCTACCGTGACCGGCAGTGTATAAGAATAATATATAAGAATTCAGTTCGTACCTCACAGGAAACAGATCCGAACCCACGATCCCGGTTTCCAAGCGAGCGAAGACAGTACATGCCTTAGACCGCTCGGCTACCGTGACCGGCAGTGTATAAGAATAATATATAAGAATTCAGTTCGTACCTCACAGGAAATAGATTCGAACCCACGATCCCGGTTTCCAAGCGATCGAAGACAGTGCATGCCTTAGACCGCTCGGCTACCGTGACCGGCCACATTTCTTAAGTAGTCTTGATTATTTCCTTCGAATTCTGGGGCAATATTCTCATTACCTTTCCGCCATATTTGACATAAGACTCAATTAAAGTAAGAAGTAAAGCTAAACCGGGGCTTTTATAACTCTATTTATCTATCTACGTGTATCTACCCATTCATCCATTCATCCATGGCTCTACAGCCCTTGTGGACTTTGATTTTTCAGTTTATTAATCTACACACAGACGGTAGAACTTCTTGAACGGGAGATCAGCTCGTCACAAGGCCGCTACCGACACACAAACACAGAATAAACACACAGACATCCATGCCTCGAGTGGGATTCAAACCCACGACCCCAGTGTTCGAACGGGCGAAGACGGTTCACGCCATATACCGCGTGGGCACTGTGATAGGCCATGAAGACGTATGGGGGAGCAGAAGTATAGCTCCACCATTCTTAACATCGTCACTAGATGTAGACGAATATTCAATTTTAGGTCAATGCCGGTCTATCCCCCGAGAGAGACAGCCCCTGTACCCATTGTAGAGGGGGCTGTCTAGGCCTCAGTGCCTCTTTGGACCTCTATGGATAAGAGAAGCGTCTCCTGTCCCTACCGGTAATAGAACTCCGTCTCCTCGCTCTTCCAGCCCGTAGTCGCTATACCGACTAAGCTTTATAAAAGAATGTCTGAGGTTTTCCTCAGTCGTTTCAGCCAAACGTAGGGTGATTGTCAGATATGCCCTCATGTATATCCCTCCCGAGCGACTATTCCGTTAAATGTTGCAGCTTACGCAATCGCTAAACATTCAATTAATCAATCAACATATTTTCTGGCAATATTGCCAATTTTGGGGGTTTTGATGTCAACAGTTTTTCAAGCGACACGCTGACAGATGTCTACAGCTCCCCGTTAGATCTCTAGGTGTACACATGTATACTAAATGAGGAAGAAGTCAGCATAGTACAGTCACTGACGTTTCTGCACCACCAGAGGCAAACACTATTCGTATATCACATCATGTCAATATGGGCTCTGGGACCCACCCAACCTACTATCCATTGGATACCTGGGTTTGTTTACCCAGGACAGAGCGGCTGAAGCGTGAAGCTGACTACGCAATCCCATCTAGTGTAGAACTGTACAAGTTGTGACTCTTTCTTTGCCTTCAAGGTTCCTTGCCGTTCTTCATATTGTGGCTCTTAGACTCAGGAGCAATTTTGGTCTTTTAAGGTCTTGAATGAGCCTCTGACCCAGTAATTCTCGCTCTCCAAGGCTCCGTTGGACAGTCACGATATTCAGTCATCACCGTGTGGCAAGTTTCTTGCAACGTTCAGTTAATATCTTAACGAAAACCAGAATCATAATATTCTTTGGGGGGGGGGAAGTGAGTGAGAAAGAAACTGATCGACGTTGTTTCCCTAGAAACTAAATATGTGTTAGCTCTGGCTGTTTGCCTTCCTCTTCTTCTTCTGTTATTTGACAAAACTGCACATATTTACAATGGGGCACGTGGTAGCGTAGTGGTTGACGGGGTTAAAATACCGATGAGGTCATTGGATTTTTTTCAGTTGACCTAATCCTTCCGACCCTGGGCCCTATGGCACTGGGGTTCACTCAGCCTCTAGCAGAAATGAGTACCAGGAATTAAATAAACAATTTTCCTGGGGAATAAAGCGCGGCCGGCGCGTAAGGCTGACAATCTTACCGCCATCTTTGAGCCGGCTGTCTAGATAATGTGGGAGCCTCAACGTCTCACAACCCTATGGGCCTTCACAGCCTGTTACAGAGATAGCTTTACTTTGCTTTACATATTTACAATGTTGTATAGGCTTGAATTCCCCTGATAAACTGAGAACACGCGCTCGAATTTTTTTGCGAGGATTGAAGATAATCATGAAAATATTTTAAAGGGTTGGTTCCAGGTCTAATTTCGTAACAAATTCTTTCACATAGGTGTCAGGAGTAAGAGCCATTACGTCACACTTTTCGGTGACGCTTCATTTTGTTCGATCGTATCTTACAGACTAACTGAGTAACAGGATCCGAAGGCTCAACGCCTCTGTTATTAAAGTCTGAAGTTAAACATGTACCACAGCCACTAACTAACTAATCAGCTACCTAACTAACAAATGCCCTGATAGTGGAACCCTAAGGCCCAGCACAATAATTGGCAAATTTCGGCAACTAACTCCATTCTGCTAAGGCATGTACTGTTTTCGCTCGCTCGGAAGCCGTGATCGTGAGTTCGAATCCCACTTAGGGCATGGATGTTTGTGTGCGTTTTTCTGTGTTTGTGTACAGGTAGAGGCCTTGCGACCAGCTGATCACCCGTCCAAGGTGTCCTACCGAATGTGTAAGATCCAGAAAAACCGAAGTGGAACGGAGAGTTTCATGGAGGTACACCTAGGCCCAAATGAGGGCTGTAGTGCCAATGGAAAAAAAAACTCCATTCTGAGCCAGTTGAATTCAGTTCATATAAGGTTAAGTAAAATTGTCCCTACGTTTAATTAAAAACCACGCTGTGACTTATGGGAATTAACCTCGGAATTACATGGAAGTGAGTAGTCAGATTCACGACCCGGCCGCTTTAACCCGGTGTAAGTGCTTCCGGTACCCATTGGACATGAGGCTGGGTGTCCCCAGAGCAATTCCGGACGCTGTGAAGGAGATAAAATTTTCTCCTTTTGCAGGGAACCTAACCTCGATCCCCATTCAACCAGTTGTCTGGTCACTATTGGCCGAGATATCCAGACTCCATTTATCTAAGATTAATAAGGATATTGTCTACACATTTCCTTCTAGAATTCGGGTTTCGCAACAGGAAAAATTTTATGACAAATCTTTGTTAATTCCATGTGAAATACCGATCCTGAATGACCAACCCATTTCGTCTGTTTGCAACTGCTTGATCAGGCTGTCCGAAGCTACCTTCCATAAGAAATCAGCCACCAACATTAATAATATTAGAACACCAACGTTCAACACAACTGGCACCAAATACCGAAATTCTTCAGACTATTAAGTCAAATTATTATCCTCAAAATAATCTATTCTAAGATCTACTTAATAGTATTCTTTCATTTTTTGGGGGTCTTCCAATTGGCCTCTTTCTAAGGGCCTCCACTGGCCGCGCCATAGCTCAAGCGGTTAGTCGTTGGCTTCCCACCGCGGCGGCCCGGGTTCGATCCCGTGTCTGCTCAAGTGGGATTTGTAGTGGACAAAGTGGCGCTGGGGCAGTTTTTCTCCGAGTACTTCGGTTTCCCCTGCCAATCTTCATTCCACCAACTGCTCCACAATCACCCTCACCTATCATCTGGGGCTGGTACAATAGGCCAGAAGTGGCCGCAGTACAAGGGACTTAGTCCCACCCAACTAGCATTAAAAAAAATTATATTATTTTATCACTTTCGTTCTGGTCTCCAATTGGCCTCCACGGCAAGCATTCAGGCAATCAAATGGGCAGATCTACTCACCAGAGTTCTCATCTTGTGACGTAAGGCCATCTAAGTATCCCGTGGTCACGGCACGAGGTGTGTGTCCTGCTCCACGGTTTGTCTTCGCCTTTTATAGTTTCCGCTGTGGGAGGCAGTGTAGTGTAACGATAGAATCGCCCCTTGTAACCCAGACACCACCTATTGCCCACCTGTTCGTTTATTGGTTTCTTATCAACTAACAAGTCTATTCGAATTTAATGAACCTCTGATTATAATGCGCGACCCAATTTTGAAACGTTAAATTTACTCTCGATGGCAAATATGGTTAGTCATGTAGAAACAATGACAGGTGGAACCAGCAACGAAATTGTTGCAGATTAAACAAAGAGAAAGGGTTCTTTTTCCTTGGCACTACAGCCCCAGTGGGCCTAGGCCTACCTCCATGAACTTCTCCGTTCACTTCGGTTTTTCTAGATCTTACACATTCGGTAAGACTCCTTGGGCGGGTGATCAGCTCGTCGCAAGGCCTCTACCTGTAGATAAACACAGAAAAACGCACACATACAAACTAAACATCCATGCCCTGAGTGGGATTCGAACCCACGATCCCGGTTTCCAAGCGAGCGAAGACAGTGCATGCCTTAGACCGCTCGGCTACTGTGACCGGCTGAAAGGATTTAACATTAATTTTTTCATTAACATATTTAAAAATAGCTTACTTGTCGCGACACACAAATTGAAAATGGCTGTTGTAAGGGAATAACGTTTTAATTGTAGACTATGAGTGGTTGGGAACAAAGCGCTGAGGAAAATAATGGGATCATAAGACCTAGGAAGTAACACGGGAGTAATGATAATTACATAAAGAGACAAATCATAAACAATTCTCTTCATCTAATAACGTTAGAACGAAATTGGGCCGATCAAAATGGCCGCACTCTCTAAGGCATGAAACATCATCGGCCTCTCAAGCACTAAGATCGTGGGTTGGAATCCCACTCGAGGCATGAATGTCTGTCTTCGTTTATTTTGTGTTTGTGTTAGGTAGCGGTCTTGCGTCAGGCCGATCCCCCGTCCAAGGAGCCCTATCTACTGTTCACAGGATTCACGATTTGAGACTTAATTCTGATTGGGAACAAACCAGAGGGCTTAACCCGCCAAGGGAGACGAAGAGAACGAAACGGATTGGCACAAATAGTACAAATTAAGAACTGAGAACTGCATACAAAATTTTGGTTATAAAAGCCGAAGGGAAGTGGCAGCTAAGAAATCTATGCGTATTTTGGAGAATAGGAATATAATAATAAATGAGATTATGGGGTGGGATTAACTGAGTGAATATAGGGTCCAGTGGCCAGTTTTTGTGAACATGGCAATTAAAAACCTGGTTCATTTCTAGCGGGGAATATCTTCACCAGATCAATAAATGAGATCTGTTCCAAACGGTCCTTGCACCGTTCATTCATTGATCTTGTTTGAATATTGAACAATACTAATTCATTTAATTCCAAAAATATCTAAGTTTTCTGCAATACCCGATGCTCGCAAAAGGCGGGCCGAAGAGCGACATATCCAACCCACTGCACCCTCCTTTATTTGAACATCTCTGCGCCTTGTATTTACAAACACATAGTCTGAGATAAAAATTGCGTCGCTGTTGAAGGGAAGCAAGCAAAACCTCATTCTGAGGCTACCGGATACGTGAAGCTTCACACGTTTAACGAGAGTGAGTTGGTGAGGAAAAAAAAAATACAGTCCTGTGTAAATGTTCCGCCCTCCTGTTACTCTCTCTCTCTCTGTCACTTAGATCACAATGTTCTCGGTATTTCGTTCTCAGACATCGAATGTAGCGAAATGATTTCGTATTTGTTGTTTATTTAGCAATCCTGACATATACAACTATAATGTTGCCTGTGGTTCTGTATGGGTGTGAAACTTGACCTCTGACATTAAGGGAGGAACATAGACTGAGGGTGTTTGAGAACAGGGTGTTGAGGAGAATATTTGGAACGAAGAGAGATGTAGTGACAGGAGGTTGGAGAAAACTGCATAATGAGGCGCTTCATAACTTGTACTCTTCTCCAAGTATAATTAGAATGATCAAGTCAAGGAGGATGAGATGGACATGACATGTAGCACGAATGGGAGAAATGAGGAATTCATGTAGGGTATTGGTGGGAAAGCCGGAAGGAAGGAGATCACTGGGAAGACCAAAACAATATTAAAATGGATCTTAGAGATATAAGATGCGATGGTATGGATTGGATTGATCTGGCTCAGGATATGGACCAGTGGAGGGCTCTTGTGAACACGGTAACGAACCTTGCAGTTCTATGAAACGCAGGGATGTTCTTGAGTAGCTGCACAACTGGCAGCTTCTCAAGAAGGGCTCGGCACCATGATTGAGTGAGCGTCTATAGTACGAACTTTTCAAAAATATTTAACCTCTCTTTTTCGTCAGTTGATAACAGGGCATAATGACCTTTACGTAGTTCCCCGCTAAAAACGGAGTTACCCTTTCTAGAATTTGACCACAAGTACCAGTCGGTGGTGAAGTTTTTTGACCTTCAGATACAAAATAAATGTTGGAAGGTTCTATAGACCTGTGTTTCACTAACAGCCATTTTTTTTCGGCATTGCCTTCATATACCCCCAGTTTTCTATGCAATTTTTGTAATCTCCCCTCATGTCAGCATGCAGACGCACCTTAACCTGGCCGCATGCGGAACACATACGCGGAAACTCCAAAATGAACAATTTCCATTCGTAGCTACAATTTCCAGAGAGAATCTCCCCGCTGATGCACTCTTATGCACTAAACCGCGATTTCATTAGAAATCCAGGATATTGGCAACGGGAGTGCGTTTCTGGCAAAGGTCATTACTGTAGCTTCGCGGGTCTGTCCATACGCCCAGCGACTTCTGCAAAAGGAGAGGAAGAGAAACCATGCCCATTGATACAGCACCATGGACGCCGCCAGGACTTTTTCCACGGGCAGGAAGTGATCATTTTCCCAAGGGTCAGAAGATGTGTTTACAAAATTATTTTTATTCCGTAAATGGCAGTGTTTACTGATCGTCCTGGGATGTTGAAGAGAGAAAAATAATTTTAAAAAATAAATACATTTAATTTGGACTATTAATATTTGTCATATTTCCCTTTTCTTAAATTTTCATCTATTTTCCTAAAATCCAGAGGTTGGGGGCAGACGATAGGTTCCCCCCAGCCGGCTCCCATTTGCACCTTCAAAAATATTGCCCAATAATCACAATAACCTTGAAATATTAGGTCATGGTTGTCTTCATCTTTGTAGGTTCTTGTGGCCTTCACATCTGGAGTATCTTCGTTAATCTTTTGAAAACATGTGGGAAGATTTAGTAAAGAAACCTGCACAATAGGCTCCCACCTTAGTCACAAATGACAAAGTGTTTTCGCTGTCACACGTCAGTCTAAACAGATGAGGATTATTGCAGATGCGAGTCTAAGTATTGATAGATTAGTCTTCTCTTGGGAGGGGTTCTATTGCCCTCGATGTAACGCCATGTAGTCAGCGAAAATTTTGTAGGTACATATCGCGTCCATCTTCAGGGTCGAAGAGTAAACCAAGCAAAGAACCAGCATAAAGCTGACAGCGAGCAGAGAAAGCTGCCTGCACGAAGGACAGGAGACGCTTCTACGATAAACAACTGAATTTTCGTAAGTTTTGAGGTTTTCACGGCGATGACAATGAAGAAAGTCGTCTTCTGGGTTTAGGCGCCGTGTATTCTTCGTTTTGGCCAAAGGTTTCGGAGGAACGTATCGCCTCCATCTTCAGAGCAGTTGAATGGCTTGGAATACAGAGAGCAGTAGCTGTAGTGATAGGACTTTCAACTGCTCTGAAGATGGAGGCGATACGTTCCTCCGAAACGCCGGCCAAAACGAAGAATACAAGGCGCCTAAACCCAGAAGAAGACTTTCTTCAACTGAATTTTCCTTTAAAAATTATATATCTATTTTTTTAATTTTTAATGCTGGGAAATTCTTAAGTAGCTGCAGAATTGGCGGCTCCTCCAGAAGGGCTCAGCTCCGTAAGTAAGCAAGTAGGTCTACTAACACATCTTAGCAACTGGTAATCAGCGTTCATACAAGTAAAGAAGTTGAGTAAGACAAGAACAGACGCTCCATGATTTAGGAATGCACTTACACAAATCACTTGTACTTCTCCACAGTAACTCGTCACGTCGGAAGAGAAACGTTTCTTATCTTGTAAGGCAGTGTTGGGTTGCATCACAGACAAGAACAAGGGAAAGAAAGCGGAGATGTTCCGAAATGGTTTCGCAAAATGTTTTATGAGTAGAGTTCGTTGTTCTTTCGTTTCAAGAAAATGGAATTGCGTTGCTTCAGAATAATTCACTATTTGTGGTGAATTTTATCTTGGGGACAGTGGGTTCATGTCCGCTGTTCGTCACTTGACGTAATCTATAAAGGGGTTTCTCTATTTACTGCACATATAATGTCCACCGAACATTCAGGTGTTACTGTAAAGCTGCGTTTCCACTCAGTGCGTAAAATGTCAATCTTCACATTAGTACTCCTTCAAACAAGCCTCTCAGTCATCATAACTTGTCCACACGAATTCTCTCCCAGCTCCCTGACCATACACACTACTCTCTACCCCTTATTATTATTATTATTATTATTATTATTGGAGGGGGTGGGTTTCCGCATGCACCACGACCTGTGGTCTATTGTACGTCCCCCTGTGATATTCTACCAGTCTCTATATCCTACCGATACTGGTGCGTGCCATCAGTCCCGACTCAGCCAGCGAGTTCGGCCTCTACTGGCTCAGCGGTATCTAGATGGTTCCCCCATCTACCAGAGGCGTTAGACACTATTGTTGGGCGGGAAATATCCTTATAATTTGGCCCAGAGGCCTCCTTGAGACATGAGGTACTTTTACGTGCCGTAAAGCTACGACACGGGGCCCACGGCTCTTCTGTGTTCCCTGTCTAAAATGCAACAACCGTCCACTTCCTCTCCCTATAACTGACTGCCTCTTTTCAATCACCCTCAGACAGCTCCCAGCCACAAGTCCCTAAGTGGTCATTAAGGGAAAACAAG